ACAAGTTAGAATAAGAAGGATTTTGCAGACAAGTTAGATTTAGAACAAAATATAAAATGAAAGGGAATTATTTGAAAAATCAGTATTTCGCAGACAGAATTAATGTTGAATTTTGCAGACAAGTTAAAATAAGAAGGATTTTGCAGACAAGTTAGATATAGAACAGAATATAAAATGAAAGGGGAAAATAAGAAAAATCAGTATTTCGCAGACAGAAATAATGTTGAATTTTGCAGACAAGTTAAAATAAGAAGGATTTTGCAGACAAGTTAGATTTAGAACAAAATATAAAATGAAAGGGAATTATTTGAAAAATCAGTATTTCGCAGACAGAAATAATGTTGAATTTTGCAGACAAGTTAAAATAAGAAGGATTTTGCAGACAAGTTAGATATAGAACAGAATATAAAATGAAAGGGAATTATTTGAAAAATCAGTATTTCGCAGACAGAAATAATGTTGAATTTTGCAGACAAGTTAAAATAAGAAGGATTATGCAGACAAGTTAGATTAAGAACAAAATATAACATGACAGGGGAATATTAGGAAAATCTGTATTTTCAAGACAGAATTAATGTTGAATGTTGCAGACAAGTTAAAATAAGAAGGAATTTGCAGACAATTTAGATATAAAACAGAATATTAAATGATGGGGGAATATTAGAAAAATCAGTATTTTGCAGACAGAAATAATGTTGAATGTTGCAGACAAGTTAAAATAAGAAGGATTTTGCAGACAAGTTAGATTTAGAACAAAATATAAAATGATGGGGGAATATTAGAAAAATCTGTTTTTCGCAGACAGAATTAATGTTGAATTTTGCAGACAAGTTAAAATAAGAAGGAATTTGCAGATAATTTAGATATAAAACAGAAAAATCTGTATTTTGCAGACAGAATTAATGTTGAATTTATTATTATTCAATAATTATTTTCTTTACTTTAAATTAATTGTTGGTTCTGTATATCTACTATTAATATTCTTTATCCATTTATAGCCTTTTCAGTTCTTTGTATTTATTTATTTATTTATTTAAGTCTCATTCATGTACATACACAAATAAAATTCATAAGCAAACATAAAACACAAAAAAGTACATGACCATTCAATCATTGAATTATAAGAGACTAGTATGACCTTTTGTCCTGTGTATTGTTAATGACATTCAATGATTAAAAGGTGCGAACCAATTAGTAATAAATTAGCAATAAATGATCTGTACCAGTGTTTATTGTTATTTCAAAGTGTCAATACATGTACATGTTGTATAATCAATTTGAAAAACTATTGCTAATAAATAAAGTTAAGATTGAAAAAAAAGCTTTGAAAAAATTAAAGTAAAGAAAATAATTTCATTGATTAATAATAAATTCAACATTTTTTTTCTGTCTGCAAAATACAGATTTTTCTAATATTCCCCCATCATTTTATATTCTGTTCTATATCTAACTTGTGTGCAAAATCCTTCTTATTTTAACTTGTCTGCAAAATTCAACCTTAATTCTGTCTGCAAAATACAGATTTTACCTTATAATTCCCTGTCATTTCATATTTTTGTTCTATATCTAACTTGTCTGCATAACCCTTCTTATTTTAACTTGTCTGCAAAATTCAACCTGAATTCTGTCTGCAAAATACAGATTTTACATTATAATCCCCTATCATTTTATATTTTGTTCTATATCTAACTTGTCTGCAAAATTCAACTTTAATTGTGTCTGCAAAATACAGATTTTACCTTATAATCCCCTATCATTTCATATTTTGTTCTATATCTAACTTGTCTGCAAAATCCTTCTTATTTTAACTTGTCTGCAAAATTCAACCTTAATTCTGTCTGCAAAATACAGATTTTACCTTATAATCCCCTATCATTTTATATTTTGTTCTATATCAAACTTGTCTGCAAAATTCAACATTAATTGTGTCTGCAAAATACAGATTTTTCCAATAGTCACCTCAAATTTCATATTTTGTTCTTAATTTAACTTGTCTGCAAAATCCTTCTTATTTTAACTTGTCTGCAAAATTCAACATTAATTCTGTCTGCAAAATACAGATTTTACCTTATAATCCCCTATCATTTCATATTTTGTTCTCTATCTAACTTGTCTGCAAAATCCTTCTTATTTTAACTTGTCTGCAAAATTCAACCTTAATTCTGTCTGCAAAATACAGATTTTACCTTATAATCCTCTATCATTTTATATTTTGTTCTATATCTAACTTGTCTGCAAAATTCAACATTGTGTCTGCAAAATACAGATTTTACCTTATAATCCCCTATCATTTCATATTTTGTTCTATATCTAACTTGTCTGCAAAATCCTTCTTATTTTAACTTGTCTGCAAAATTCAACCTTAATTCTGTCTGCAAAATACAGATTTTAACTTATAATCCCCTATCATTTTATATTTTGTTCTATATCTAACTTGTCTGCAAAATTCAACATTAATTGTGTCTGCAAAATACAGATTTTTCCAAATAGTCACCTCAAATTTCATATTTTGTTCTATATCTAACTTGTCTGCAAAATCCTTCTTATTTTAACTTGTCTGCAAAAATCAACCTTAATTCTGTCTGCAAAATACAGATTTTACCTTATAATCCTCTATCATTTTATATTTTGTTCTATATCTAACTTGTCTGCAAAATTCAACATTAATTGTGTCTGCAAAATACAGATTTTACCTTATAATCCCCTATCATTTCATATTTTGTTCTATATCTAACTTGTCTGCAAAATCCTTCTTATTTTAACTTGTCTGCAAAAATCAACCTTAATTCTGTCTGCAAAATACAGATTTTACCTTATAATCCCCTATCATTTTATATTTTGTTCTATATCTAACTTGTCTGCAAAATTCAACATTAATTCTGTCTGCAAAATACAGATTTTTCTAATAGTCACCTCAAATTTCATATTTTGTTCTATATCTAACTTGTCTGCAAAATTCAACATTAATTCTGTCTGCAAAATACAGATTTTACCTTATAATCCACTATCATTTTATATTTTGTTCTATATCTAACTTGTCTGCAAAATCCTTCTTATTTTAACTTGTCTGCAAAATTCAACATTAATTCTGTCTGCAAAATACAGATTTTACCTTATAATCCTCTATCATTTTATATTTTGTTCTATATCTAACTTGTCTGCAAAATTCAACATTGTGTCTGCAAAATACAGATTTTTACCTTATAATCCCTATCATTTCATATTTTGTTCTCTATCTAACTTGTCTGCAAAATCCTTCTTATTTTAACTTGTCTGCAAAATTCAACATTAATTCTGTCTGCAAAATACAGATTTTACCTTATAATCCCCTATCATTTCATATTTTGTTCTATATCTAACTTGTCTGCAAAATTCAACATTAATTGTGTCTGCAAAATACAGATTTTACCTTATAATCCCCTATCATTTCATATTTTGTTCTATATCTAACTTGTCTGCAAAATCCTTCTTATTTTAACTTGTCTGCAAAATTCAACATTAATTTGTCTGCACAAAACAGATTTTTCCAATAGTCACCTCAAATTTATATTGTTTGTTTGTTATAATCATTATTTACTGTCTCATGCAATTATTATTTTTTTATTTATATTCTTATTTTTTTTATGAAAGCATAAATTAAAAAAAAAACATCAAATTAAAACTATATTTTTTTTTAATTAAATAAAGTTTTGCAAATTAATTATACTTTCTAAATGGCATTACTTCAATGTAATTGCCCATTCACACCTTTTGACCAGTTGACAAGGGATTAAACATCCCCTATATAATCTATATTGTCTGCAAAGTCTAAAATCCTTCTTTATTTAACTTGTCTGCAAAATCCCTCCATGTTTAACTTGTCTGCAAAGTCGTCCCAATAATGGATGCCATGTGCTTAGAAGGACATGAGATACAGATTTATTTGGAGTTAAGTTTTGAAAGATTTTTGTATTTGCTGCAAAAAATAGCTTTTGTAGGCACTAAAACAGACTTTAAAAAGGATTTTGCCATTCATGAAATGTGCATAAAACTTTGCAACAGAATGTTTTTGGTCTTCAGAAATGTAGCACATTCAAGGTAAATATTCTTATTGTTATCATTTGTATTTCTGTTTTAAATAGTCTTTAAAACATAGAACTGGAAGTGTACTTTCCAGTGTTTCATCATTTTACATTGTAATCTTTGTTGTTATATGAATTTTGGCCTACTTTCACTTTGGACAGACTTGGTGAAAACAAACATGGCCGACTAAGCAGAATCACCTTAACCAGTTAACGGTTTAACACAGACGACAAAAGTTAAAAGGATAAAATTCTGGAAAACACATTGAATATTGTAGGATAGACATGTCAATAGCATCATAGTTTATTCAATTTAATGTTTGCATGTATGCAATAATGTATACAACATAATAATTTGTAATTAACACCCATCTGCTGAGTAAAGTTTAGTTCTGGCTTCCATAACTTTATATGTCGCTTTTATTTTGACGTTGAACAGGTCTAGCAATTCTATAAAACCTGTTCGCTGAAGTATCTTTAGCTAAGTAAAGTTGTGTTCTCATATTTTCAAGGCAATTATATTTTAACAGTTTCAAAAGCAAAACCAATAGTAATCTTTATTTTTTAGTACACCTATACCTAGCCAAGTTTGAAAGTGGTGATTTTCTCTACAGTATTGTATTTATCAAATATCTCAATGGTTGTTTTACAAAGAAGATTTTCTTAAAAGGTATGAAATCTTAAAGTAAAATGACCAGTGAAATAAATTACTTTGCTCTTAATCTGAATAAAAAAATTTTTTTCAGTTGTATATGTAACATTTCGATACAAATATAATAAAATAGTAAAAATGAAACTACTGGCAGGTTCATGAAGTCTTAAGGAGGCACTTTAGACTATTTATGCCTACCCAGTAATACCTTGGAAATATGGGTACCACGGAAATATGAGGCACCAGTATACCTGGGCTAACTCGTACATGTCATGTATCAGATGTAAATCTCCATTTGAAATTTAAATTCAATTAAAAACACAGTTAGTTATGACTGATACATTATAGATAAATAAGTATGGTACCTAGTTGAAACAGTGATTGTGAAAGCTATTGGACAAATAATTTAATCTATATATGGCTGCTTGGAGTTTTCCTAGTTCAACTAGTCTACATGTAAAACACTGATTGACAGTTTCCGAACTAGCAGACGACAGACTATTCTTATCAGTAGAATTGTGAGTAGAGATAATCAGTTGCTTATCTCACTGTATAAAACATATGTAAAATGGTCTGACTTGTGGTAGATTTAATATTAACCATAAATTTAAATACCTTTAGTATCAAACAAATAAAGGATACTGGTTGGGGACCACCAAAACCGGAAAACCACCAAACCCGGACAGCCCTGAAAATGATTAATTTAGTATTTTCTTTGTTCAGTGGTTGTCAGTCACTTTTTTATCAACAATAAGTGCATGTTTCTTTTAAAATTAAGTAAATAAATTTATTTCAACCTCCATAAATGGTAATATTTTAATGTCTATTTCAAGAATGATCTGAATGTTGACATTGAAATTCGGGGGGTTAAGAAAACAATGCCTGACCTCATATACCAGCTATAATCATTTGCAGAGTGAATAATAGAATATCCAAAACTTCAGCGTTTGTTGCTGACATATTGTATATCATGTTACAAATCAAAAATCAAAACACCCAAACTTTTATCTGAATTAAATGACATCATGTACATATCTGTCCGGACACATGGTACTGTAGTGTAGACAATTTAGTTAATTTTGATACCCTTCTTGTTGAGCCTCAGATACAAGTGTCAATACAATCAGAAATAAACAAACTAGTTTGTTAGTTAGGAGAAAAACCTATCTGAACTGTGTCAAATTTTTTGGTCTCTAGGTTAAAAATTATGAAATCTGTACGGAAAATGTTCCAAAAGTGTCCGGTTGATGGTCTCCGACCAGTATGAAATATATTTCAATCTTATATGTAAAACAAATAAATTTTCTTTTTAATGCATGCTTTTTTAGTGATTTTAAGTATTTTTTACTGATTTTGCTGCATAACATCGCGCATTATCCTTTATGACGTCATAACATCATGACGTCACATCATCAATTTGAAATATAGTTCTGTTAAATCTCTCTAATTGTGTTAGATGTATTACATGATAAATGATGACATCGACTTTCTTTTCTTAAAGAAGGAACATTTATGTATAACAGCATTTATTTTTACCTGTTATTCCATTAAGTTATGATATTCTTTTCATCCACATTCAGGTATAGTCCGGCTACAGTGAAAATTATATTTTATAAATTTCACTAGTGGTTTATCAGAATATAATCATCTGATATATTATAGTAAAACACTGGAAAGCATGAAATAATGTGTTGCAATATAGATGAAGCTAAGATCACAAGCTTTTCGTTGGTGAAATAAATTTTAAAATCGGACAATAAATGGTCCCAAACTAGCGGTTTAAAAACGGCTAAATTTGCATTGTTTTAGCAATAGAGATATTGTTTTTACCTGAAGATAAGAGAAAAAAACTCATATTTTTTCACTCAATATACATAGTTCATAGAGAGACTGTCAATAGGCCTGTATTAGACTTGTCAGAAAGACATCAAGATAATTTTGGATGGAACGCACGTATGAGCATTTTAAATCAGATGTCTTGTGTAATTTTTTTGTTTAATACCAATGAAATTTTGACCTTTTCTCTCTTGTAATGTAACAATAGTGTTTAGAATAATTAAAATAAAACATAACTTTTATCTGTTTATAGAATATGTCAATATGTGAAGTGATCTATATTTGGCTCAAAATTGATTTCTTCAGCTAATACTCCATCGAAGTTGCAAGAAAGAAAATATAATCACCACAAGTGATTCAAAATGAATGGACTGGTGATATTTCCGGCATCCATACTTGACAGCATTAGCTGCTTTTTTAACCATCATTTAACATAGACTACAGTACAGTATCTATAATTATATTCACATAAATATTTTGCAGGTGATAGCTGTGGTAGAAACATGGGTAGTGAAGAGATAGGAATGCTGACACAGCACCTTAGAGAAATGGAGTTGGTAGCTGAGGACATACTGACAGATAGACAACAAATTATTGACCTTGACAGGAAAAGACAAAAGACAAGAGAGGCTGTTAGGTAATTAGTGTAGCTTTAAAGCATTGAATATGATATTCCATGTTTCTATAAGGGTTGTCCACAAAGCTTGTAACTCAATCATTTTTAACATAGTTTGAATTGTGAGGACAACTTTTAGATAACTAATATAGAGTCATTTGTTAAGGCAGTCATTTTAAGGTAAACATTATCATTCATGTACATGGTATAACCATTAATAATAACTTGTCATCTATATTTCATCATGAAGTTATGTCTGCCTTATAAAGTGATATATGAATATCACAGATTCCTCTATCAGAATTACTCTCAAAAAGTACAGCTCAAAAAAGTAATATTATATTATTTTCAGAGATTAAAACAAAGATGCAATTTACAGAGTCTTTTTATATATACTCTGTATAAAATTGTTAATATCTCTTGATTTACTTTAAGACAGTATTGCATTTAGTTCTATATACATTATGTACTTCTTTCTGTAATCTGTATGTGCTTGCAGAATTCCACTTTTACAATGTTCAATAAAACAATTTGTGTTTTTTAAACATCATCAGTTTCAATAGTTTATTATTAACATCAAAATTGTTCAAATTGAATGAAGCAGAATTACTTAAGGAAACTGTTATTTACTGTATTTAATATATACATGTATGTGTTTCAGAGTGTTATCTAAAGACAAGAAGACTAAAAAACAATGGGTGTGTTTTGGAGATATGTTCATAAAATTTCCTTCTGACAAAACAAAGAAAATGCTGGAACAAGGTAATTTAATCTGTTTGTTATTGTCAAACATCTATTAGTTTTTACTTAGTATTTTAAATAGTCGTTTTGGATTGCCTCCCTTACACTGCATTTTAAACATTAATAATTTTTAGGTAAAGATTAGGTTTTTGAAGACTTAATAAGGTTTATGCTTAAAAACTTTCATTGTGTTAAAATGTAGAAAATGCCTGGACATGGTTATTAATTTTGAATATTAAAAATTGTGGATACTTAATATTTTAACTTTTTTAAATGTTTTTTGTTTTATCCACATGTTTTATCAAAATATTTTCTTTGTTATTGATTGCCTCCCTTGCACTACAAATAAATATAAAAAAATAGCCTTTTATTTGAAATTAGAGAAATTGAAAAGAATAATACGGAATTAAGTAGTACTACAAATGGGGACTCTGCACATTGTGAATTTATGTTTGTGAATGATATTCAATCAACCCAAAATTTCCAATAGCTACATCCCAGCTTTTTATACTACAAATTTCAGTAATTCCTCAATAACAGAAAAAGTTAAAACAGCCATGTAACAATACAATGCCAACTTAACCTCAATGTTGGTAAATTCACAAATGAAATGACATTAAAATGATGATGTTTATGTTTAAATGTGCATACATTGTATTTAATTGCATTTATACCATACAGTATTTTATTGATAATTTATGTTTATTAACCCTTTCCCCCAAGAGCATAATATTATTGTGAAAAATGGCCGTTTTCACTGAAAAGCCTCCTGTTACAAGTTCAAACTGCTATGAAACTATGAAAAATGCTTCAATACTAATCAAACTTTGCACAAATGTTGACTGGACTATTGCCTTTGTAATGACATGCTCAGTCTTAAATTTTCTGTTACAGTGGCAACGAGGGGACATCTCAAAATTGCCAAAAATCACTATTTTGCCTCGATTTTTTCCATCAAAATTTTTATTTCAAAGTGCTGCAACTTCTCAAGGGATTGAGATAGAGTCAAAGGCTTTTCAGCATTGGTTACATGTTACATTATGATTGACCTGGGGCCATTTTTAGCCTCTCGCAAGTCCAAAATTTTCTTGGCGATGAGGGGGACTCCGCCCCCTAACAGAAGGGGGCACATCCCCCTTCTAGCAACCCCCTGATGTATCTTTTGGATGGGGGGCGAAAAAGCCGAAAAAGTGCTCAATTTTTTTAGCAACATTTCTCAAACAAAAACATGTGTTTGGGGCCCAAATAGGACATTTTTTCACTATTTGAGGCCTAAAAAGGTTGGGGGGGGGTCGAACGTGCGTTGTTTCGCGTATATATGAGGTAAAGGGTTAAGGTGTACTTTATCTTAACGGTATGATGTTTCTCAGGGTTTAACAAGTAAATATAACTTTAATAATTAAACAAAGTTCTACAGGTGGTGTATAAAAACACTTACGTTGGTAATAGACTGCACAGTTTTAAATTTGTTTTAGCTATCCAATTGTATTCATAAGGAAATTTATAAGATTGTTATAATTGCCTCATTTTATATTATATGTTTTTGTCAGTACAATACTGATCGTATTTATGACATAAAATTGTCACATGTTTTATATTTCTCTATTACAGAAAGGGGGATAGCATTATAGAATAAAGGGAAACAACTCTTAACTAAGTACTTGCCATTTATTTGTGATAGTTACAGAACATGCATCATATATTAATACTTTGTTACTTCACAATATTTTGTATAACATTTACTTAATTATAGATCTATTGAATAATAAATATGCCACTCAAGCCAGCATATCAACACAACATAGTTATTTGTGACATTTCACAAAATGTTTATTTAACTTTTATCTAATTATCCAGATTTTTTGTTGAACACACTGACTGCCATGCTGCTTATGGTTCAGTGTATTTTTGCTGACTTCAGTGCAAACTTTTTGCTATATAGTACCATAGAAAATAAAACAAAATCGGACACATATATTGTAATCAAAACATTGCATATTATCAGTGATTAAAATCTGGAGCAAGTTTGATTTAGGGTCATCTTGGGTAAATGTAAACATGATAACATTGTTAATCACCTCATTTATCAAACTATTATTTAATTTTTATCTAAATATCTATATCATTATTATAATAATATATGTAAACTTTGAATGTTGATTAGCTAGTGATAGAAAACTAGGTCAGTACTTGATTAACCCATTCAATTTGTGTAATGTCTGACTTGCCCTATTTAGATTTTGAACTGTCCATTGATATTTCACATGAACAAAATGCTGACATCTGGACAGAATGTGAGAAGATCAGATAAACTGACTAGCAAATCAGACTGACAGATTGAAGTAAGGTGTAAATCTGCCATGATTCCCTCAAGGGATTAAACAGTTGACCACAAAAAACCAAATCAATTTAGATTAACAGTCAATGAATTTAAGATTTTGAATTAACTAGCCCAAATTCCAGTTTTGAATTTTTTCACTAAATTTTCTTAAAATTTTCACTGGCCTGAACTAATTTTCACTGGCCATGGGCCACTGGGCCAGTGCTAAATTCGATGGCTGGATTAAAAAGAAGAGAGGAAACTTGAGCTGCGAGGCTACATTGCTGGTTTGGCAAGGGTTACAAGTAAAACTTAGTTAACAGTAGAGGTGGCACAATATTGGCTCAGAACTTAAAATGAAACTTAGTGTAGGTCTGAAAAGTGGGAAAACAACTATGTCATAGCATAGCAAAACCCTTAAAGAAATAATTCTATTTTCTGATGGATTGTATTACAAAGCATTTTGTTTGTGAAATGTTAACAATATTGAGGTAAGAATAATGCTATGAATGGTCACATCATGTTTTGAAGTATTTGTTAATGTACTACAGGCCTCGACATTAGCGGTGGTCCGTTGGTCCGAGACCACTTGATTTTGGCAAGGACCACCTAATTTTAAAACCCACTGGTCCGTCAGACCACTTGAATTTTCTGGTTGATGCAAGGCTCATTTGGGAGAATAGCGATTTGGTCAAAAACATGTTATATAATTTTGTTTAAAATCTATGTCCGATGTACATGTATATGGTTCATTTGTGATATAAATTTAGGTACAAAATTCATTCAAATGGTGCTAGTAATTATGCATCGTCTGATAACCACGGCGGAACCATTAACCTTTATGTTATGTTACATGTTAATCAACCGTGAGTATCCGATGATGGTAATTATATGATATTGGCTAAACGTTAATTTCAGATACTTGAATAACGGCAGCAAATGAAGGGAACTGGAAAAAATACATCTAGTAATTCTATGCTATTTATCTTTATTTTAACTGTTTAACGATAAAAGATCTGTTTCTTCTAGAGTTAAAAATATTTTAAAAGGTTAAAAATACCCAATGTCAAAAATGAATATCAAGCAACAAGCAACAGGGAGGTAAAATTCTGTATTATAAATCTGCGAGAAAAATAAGATAAGTTATTGTAAATAATAACGTTGTCATTAGTTTAATAATTTAGATATTTCCTTGTTTTCAAAGACAAGAATAAGATAATTTATTAGTTCCATTAAAAATGTTAATCTATAAAAGATACTATGTTATTATCATGATTATAAGACGTACCACGTATCAGCAATGAATATTTATTAACAGTAAGAAAACAACAGACACAAATGGTTTCACTATTCCCTAACTTGAGTTGAGGGAGAAATCACTTTAATATAAAAGTTAACATAAATAAGAGCTCTGTTCTGTATTTTTGACTGAGATAAAAACAAATAAACAAATAACTCTACGATAAAATACCTACTGACTTGCTCTCCCTTTTCTGATTAGATGAAAAATATATATCTAAAAATATCTGTTTTCTTTAAAGGTAAATAATACATCTTTGTCATAAAGTTTAAACATTTTTTTCTACATTTGCAGTAAAATGATATAATAATGATAACTGACCACCTGACTTCTGGAAGGACCACCTAACTTTCAAATCTAGTGGTCCGGCGTACCACCTGCTAAAAAAGTTAGTGTCGAGGCCTGTACTATAAGAAAAATGTTATAGTACAGGTAACCATTCTAAAAATATCTATTAGGTCTAAAAGCTGTGCAGAAGTAAGCTAAATTTATTCTTCCCTTAAATATGGGAAAGCTGAGTGCTAAGTACTCTCTCTTGTTGGAATATGAATTTGAGCCGCGTCACGACAAAACCAACATAATGGGTTTGCGACCAGCATGGATCCAGACCAGCCTGCGCATCCGCGCAGTCTGATAAGGATCCATGCTGTTCACTATCAGTTTCACTACTTGTTATAGACTTTGTAAGCGAACAGCATGGATCCTGATCAGACTGCATGGATGCGCAGGCTGGTCTTGATTCATGCTGGTCGCAAACCCATTACGTTGGTTTTGTCATGACACGGCTCATTTATGTAATGACTTCATTTCAAATGACAGGATATTAAGGACAAATCAGTTACAGCATCAGATATTTGAATTTTTATTTATAAGACAATATTATTTATATTGCAGATTTTGACAAGCTTGATACAGAAATTGGGGATTTAAGGAGGAATCTAAAACCTAAAGTGAACAAGTTAAGAGATCTGGAAATGAAGGAAGATATTAAAGGATTTGATTTAAATCCATTAAGTAAAGAAGAACTAAGAACTATTGATGGATACTGCAATTGATCAAGTCAAACACATCTTGTTTGATAACATTCTAAGGTTAGTTTTCGAAGAAATGATATATGAGAACAGGGTCTTACATTGGAGTTAAACAGCCTGACCTTTTCAATTGTGAGTAGATTTGGTGATATCTCAGATTGGATTAAGAGGTGACATTACTCATTGTGAATTCATATCTCATAGCAGTATAAATATATATCTGTGATGATATCCCAAATGTGGATTCCCAGAAGGGGTTCAAACGCAAGGTCATATAATATTATACATTTGGCTGGAATCAAAGATATATCTTAGTGTGGATTGAAAGGTACCGATAGATAAAAGATTACAAAGGTGATGTTCAAAGAAGAAAATTTGAATTGGATACTGACTTTCACATTGGGAAGACAAGGGACACATTATATAAAATATTCTATTATAATTATATTGTTCATGATATCCATTCTTTCACATTTATTAATATTTTCATGATTCTGATACTGAAGTTGTTATAACATGTATACAACAAAAAATGTTCATATATTTTGAGAAGATATATTTATCACACACCTGTGCCGATTTTGCGACTCCGTAAAAATGGCATTGCACAGCCGTGCATATATTTTGATGTGACTTTATTAGCGTTATACAAACATAGTGTAAAGACGCGCTAAATGATTCTTTTTTCACCTTAAATGATTCCTATTTTGGGTATGTGATATAAATTTGTGGCCACGAGATAGCTTAGTCATGGCCACGAGATACTATGTTGTGGCCACGAGTTACTATAGCAGTAACTATTTAAGCCAAGTTGTATCAGTTGTGTTGGCAAAAAAAAAAAATTTTTGCTGATTGATGGTTGTAATTTACATATTCTGGACAGTGTTAATGTAATACTCAACATTGCTAGCACTGTACATCTATCTGTTCTGTCAGTTGTTTTATTTTGAAATTGATTATTATATTTTTCCATACATGTTTTATGTGACAACTGTACATATAATTGTTGAAGGTATGCTGCCTCATGGCCAGGTAGTCTAATTCATGAAATAAAGAACTTTATAATTATATTTGTACTAAATATTTATTTATATTTTTAACTCCACTTTTCAAAAGAACTATCTCATCAGCATTGGTAAACCTATTCCTTCAGGTCCATTTGCTCAGAAACTATACAAACTTGGTATATGTGTTTATTGTCATAAGAGGAGGCCATTTTAAAAGGGCAGATAATCCAAAAGAAATTTAATGCAAACTTATGCTCCTTATATGCCCTGGTTAACCTTTCTGTTAAGTTTCAATCTCTCAGAAAATTTCAAAGTTATTTACTTCAAACTTGATATATTTGATAATTTCCACAATATGACATCCTTTCAGAAAGGCAGGTAGTCATGAAATTCGTTTTTTCTAAGTTATGTTCCTTTTTTTACCTATTTTTTTCTCAATTTCTCAAAAACTGTCAAAGTTAATCACTTCAAATTTGGAATACTTTTAAACTGGAATGCATTTCTAAAGGGCATCATTTGACTTTAAAATCCTTGGTTAACTTTTTAAAAATGTATCAAACGTATTCACTTTTAACTTGGGAGTTTGTGTTCTCTATTAAATTTTTAATGCATTTCTAAGCCATTTTCACTTTATGATGTCCCTTTTTGGCTTAAAACATTTGCCTTTTTCCTTAAAAACTGTTAAAGGTTTTAATGTCAAACTTGAAATATTTGTTTACTATAGACAAGTCTGCTAAGCACTTTGCAGAATTATGCCCCCTATTCTGTGTGGCTTTTAGTCAACTACCCTGCTCTGAAAAAAATGGAGTGCACAGTCTAATGTTGGTCTTGTTTTATTTTTAAACACCAAGATAGATTTTTAATATAAATCTAAGTTTTAAAACATTTGCCTGCAATTGAATATTAGTATAAATGTACCTCAGTAGAGGTTTGACTATAATGGAAGGTATTGAGAAAAGGCCCTAGAGAGTACAAAAAGCATTTAGCGGTGTTCGATCTACAAGATAATATTTAACAGTGTTCAGCCGTGATCCAAGCATTTAGATAGGTCAAGTTCAATGACGTCAATCATTATAATATTGAATGTCAAGGACAGTGGAACGTGAAGGGGAAAAACAACGTGAAAATTCTGAAAAATTGCGACATTCATAAATTAAAGGTATTTTTCAAATATTTTACTTGACTAAATTAGCTTATTATAGTTAATATTGATCTTGATAATAATTACACATTATAATATACATTCTTTTTTCAAACAAAAGATTTGACAGGTTTCATTATTTCAATATTTGTTCTGGTTGGGGACCAGCAAATCCGGACAACCACCAAACCCGGACGGCCCCCAAAAAGACTGATTTAGTTGTTCTCTTTGTTCAGTTGTTGTCAATCTATGAGTCACTTTTTTATACACAATAAATACAGGTTTCTTCTAAAATTTAGTATAATATTTTAAGAACGTTGACATGGGAAATTTGGAAATCAAGAGTGCAATGCCTGACTTCTTATAAGTATACTGTTCTCCTTTTAGCTCGCGGTACTTAGTGTTTTGAAATAATAATGAAAACAAACAATGAGCTTACCTTTCAAATAATTGTTATCAGCGGTAACTGTAATCTATTTTCTGCTACATTGCACAAAGAAACAACAAAACATTCATGTGATAACACATTTAATACAACAGAAAATAACCATGTGTCAGTCATGTTTATGAAATGACGTCATCAGTTAGCTCGCGATAGACTGGTTTACAGGTTGAATACTTATACTATTTTAGGTCAAAGAGAACTAAATGATAAAAACCATGTCCTTGAAATTATTTGTAAAAAATATTTCACAAACACCAATTAACACAACATCAATAGCACATTTTTGATGTTTAACAGTCAATGGTCAGTTAAAAAGTTACTCTTCAGGACAGTGAACACAATAGAATGTACTAGCCCTTCTTAACACTTTGACATCAGTACAGTGGGTTAAATGGACCCAATGCCCACAGTGATCACATTGACCCCATTTTAATATAATGAGACCTGGATAGTCTCTAAGATGTGGGGGAAATTTAGAACTGCATACACAACAAACGTCGTCGTCATCTGACTCATCACTTGAGGATGCATAAATTGGTTTATTTGATCGGCCTGACTTTGTAATGCCAGATGACTTTGTAATGCCAGATGTGGATGGTTTTGGCGAGTTACCATGACAAGATTTTCCTTTTTTTAGGATTGAAGATGTTTTGGATATTCTATTGTTTATTCTGCAAATGATTATATAAATAGTATACTATTTATATAATCATTTGCAGAATAAACAATAGAATATCCAAAACTTCAGCATGTGCTCCGGATATATATTGTATATCATGTTAAAGGTTTAAAATTAAAACACACAAGCTTTTATCTTAATTAAATCAATGTCATTACATATCTGTCTGGACACATGGTATACTACATACTGTACAATTTAGGTTATTTAGATACACTCCTTGAGGGGCCTTAGACATAAGTGTCAACATAATCAGAACTAAACAAACTAGTTTGTTAGTTAGGTGAAGAACCTAGCTGTACTGTGTCAAATTTACAGATCTGTAGCTTTGAAATTATGCAATCTGTATGGAAAAATGTTCAAAAAGTGTCCGGTTGATGGTCCCTCACCATAAGTAGGCTTACTGTGCGACAAGATATTGTGCACTGCTATTTTGTGTCTAAGCAGTACAGTTGTATCTCATCTCTACGTAGAAGCGAGATTCTGACTCAGAACGAAAATATCTCAGAATGTTGCTTTGGCACGTCAATATATTTTGACTAAGGCTTGTTATTCTATCAATACTGTAAATTTGAATTAAAATTTAACCCCCATTATTTATTTATTCATTTATTTATATAATTTTGATCTTCAGCAGGCGATCATGTGAGACACAGATCATTGAATTAACTGATTACCTTGTGAAAAACAAAAAACAGATCTCATACTACTTGACTTCTATTCTAAAGCTTTCGATAAAGTAAACCATCTTAAACTCTAGATACCCTTTAAGAACATGGTGTCTGTCCTCAAATTCTAAACTGGATACAGTCCTTCCTTTTTGGCCATAGACAGACAGTAGTTCTGGATAGTGACTGCTCATCTGAAGTTCCATTTACCTCTGGAGTGCCCCAAGGCTCAGTCCTAGGGCCCCTCTGTTTCCTTCTATTTATCAACCAGCTACCATCTTCAGTCCATCTCAAGTCAGATTATTTACAGATGACACTGCTGTATACCTATAACCATCAATTCCTCTTCAGACCCCCCAACACTCCCAACATGATCTAGACAATATAGTTCTGTGGGAGAAGCAGTGGGACATGGAGTTGCACCCTTCAAAGTGCAAAGTCATTCATAACACCTTTCAAGAACATGGTGTCTGTCCTCAAATTCTAAACTGGATACAGTCCTTCCTTTTTGGCCATAGACAGACAGTAGTTCTGGATAGTGACAGCTCATCTGAAGTTCCAGTTACCTCTGGAGTGCCCCAAGGCTCAGTCCTAGGTCCAATTGCTTAATATCTCTGACTAGATCTGCCTGCTGACCTTAAATTTAACACACATAATATCTCGAATAACTTCCAATGCAAACAGATCCTTTGGCTTAATCAAAAGGAATGTAATTACCAAAAATTAAAAAGTTAAAGAATTAGCATACAAGTCCCTGGTCCGGCCACAGGTTGAATATGCTTCCAACTATTTGGTCTCCCTACTCTAAAACCTACCCCCCCCTCTTAGGTCACTGTAGAAAAGACTGGGATGCATCCTTGAACATGCAATGAGACTAATAATGTTCTACAAACTCTGGACATGACTAACTAGTGGATTACTTCCCCCCTCTCTAGGGTCACAGCCATGTAGAAAGAACTGGGCTGGCGATCCCTTGAACATCGCAACTGTAGACTAATAATGTTCTACAAAACTGTGTAACATATACCATAACCTAGTTGCGATTATAATCTCCCACCATATGTTCAAGCCCCACATCTTTAGGTTATCCAGACATATGCACCCTTTAGCCCTTCACCGAATACAGGTTTCCTCCGACTACCATAAGTACTCTTTCTTCCCTCACAGCATTATACTATGGAATAAACTCCCAAGCTACATTGCCAATGCCACCCTGCCCAACTTAAGTCAGTTCAGACAGGCAGTGGTGGTATTGCAGTACTTATCTTGCTCCCAGTGTTTTTAAATATTTTATCCATTATCTTCTTCTTTCACTATAAACATTTTAACCATGACTAGAAAACATTTATAGTCTCACCTTCCTAGCATGTTTATAATGCTTGGACTATTTTGCTTTTCTTTTACCTTTTACTTGCAAATCAAATCAAAATTTATTTATTGTCGGTTTGTATATATAACATTTCACAAAACTATGTATAGCTTTTGTCTGACGTGCACTTAATTCCTGCCTATAACACTCGCGAGAGTGGTTAGCAGTATCCATAGATAGATAGATATAGGGGATACATATTAATCTTTAATTCTTGTAAAGGGGGTACATATTTAATGGTAACTTTAAATTAATTTTAATTCTAATTAAATTATTGACAGAATATCAAGCTCCTGAGTGCTATAAGCTGTTAATTAACTAAAGTCTAAATGATTTAATATGGCCATGACTCGTGCAATTGTGAAACTAGAACATAATTTGTTATTGTTGTTAAATGTTACTGTAATCTTAATGAGAATGAGAGAATAAAATCCTAATTCTCAAACACTAACCCTACTGTAGATGTAATTGGAGTTACTTTGTAAAGAGATAATAATGGGTAAAAAATCATAATGTTAAAAATCACTGCAGAGTGCAGACAGATTCTAAATTCTAGCCGCTGTAAGTTTTTAATCCTAGTCCAATTAATTTGTGCAATCTCCTGTTTAATAGATTAGGGATTTTACTCACTACATTAACAGTGTTGTAGCTGTACCTCTATATATGCTTGTCAGAAATCATGATCACTCGAAAATAAATATTGCTTTTCTGGCAGTTATTACAAACATTAGCACTTTGTCTGGTATATACCAGGATACAGATATACAGTATTAGTATTTAGTGTGGTGCTCCAACACTTTTAGTACTGCTCAGCCTCATAGATTATACCCCTCTGTCTGTCTGTCTGTTCATCTGTCTTTAGTACTTTACATCTGTCCATCATCATGCGTTCATTGGGTACTAAGGTGTCTACAGGCACAATAGTTAACTCTTTTCCTTTGATTGCATTCATTGCCTTAAAAGAGGTGGCTATTAAAAAGAGAAATAGGGAGAACATTAGAATAGCCACCTACGTATCCAAATGTTAGTATGTCTGTCTGTCCATTTGTGCTTACATTTGGATACATAGGTGGCTACAGAAACAAAAGGTAACAATAGAATAGCCACCTATTTATCCAAATGTTACTAGTGTTCTGTCTTGACATCCATCTATGCTCTGGCAAAGAAATAGGCAGTTTGCATGTTTAGCCACTAAGAAATGTTAAAAAGTGAATACAATAAGACATGTATAAAATAAACAGTGTTTGATGTAAAGGGTTTGTTAAAACTAAAAGCAGCCTTGCAGTCTGTTTTGGTGTAAGAAGCCAAGGGGTTTGGTTTGCCTTTTTGGTTTGCCTGTTTATTATGTGCTAATCCCATGAGAGATCATTTGATATATTCATGACCAGGCAATGTTACTGCCTCTATAGTAGTTTCATGAAGTGAATAATTAGTTGGTATAAAATGTTTCTTTGTGACATTGATTACATGACATTTTGATTGGTTGAACTACATTTACCAATACAACTCCCACTTGTCTGTATTTAACTGAGTAATATACTTATTAACTTTAAATACTCAATAAGCCTACTATATAAAATAATAATCCAGGATATGACCACTAAATGTACTGCAACACAAGATATTGTGCTATTTTATACTCATTTGTCTTGCCAATGATGGTAGAATTATCAAATAATAATCTCCCTTTGATCATCATAAACAAAATTACATCATAGATAAGATATATACAATGTATATAACTCTCTGTAGCAGTTAACATTTTGCTTTTTTTAAAAGAAGACATATTTAATTATGTATCAAACATGATTTGAGCAAATTGCCAGTTTAGCCAGTTTTATAAATAATTTCCTGTAAATGTTAATGCTTAAGTGTTATTTATTCTTCTTGAAAGTTAAACATAACTTATATCCTTGTGGAGTTGTAAGTACAAAGTTAAATTTTAAGTTCAGCTTGAGTGGCTGTGTTTGGCTTACACAGAATTTACGTTAATTTGATGGTGAAGGAAGCTATTGGCTGATATTGTCACTCAGAGTGACTCTCGTATCTGTTCCTGGAAGTAAGGAACCAACCAGTACTGAGCAAGGAGTGTACAGTTTATAGGAAGGAAGCAACAGCTGAACTGTTAGCTGTGTTTAAACTCTGACCCAATATTCTTGATCAACCAATGTGTTATTTTGGTATGCAGTCTTTTGATCAATATTAAATATAATTGATTATGTTTATACACAAATTGAATGTGGTACCCCTTTCAGGCCCTGCATATTGGAGTATAGACCCTTGACATGTTGTCTCTGTCATGTCATAAAGGAATTAATTTTGGTGCCCTTAAAGAATAAATATTGCTAATTGGTTAGAATTTTACATAATATGTTTCCATTGTTTTTATCAAAGTTAAAGAAGTTTAAGTCAAAAATTAGGGCCTGAACCGCTCCCAAGTGAAAGCCCAATGAAGGACTCTGTAGTCACTTGCTGTGTGTCTATATCAAAAGCATTTTCACTATCTAACACATTACAAGACATACAGTTCCTGTTGCTCCAGGCTCCAATTTACATGGATATTTTATAACATTTTGTCTGAGACTCTTTAGTACCTGTTTTCTTCTCATTTAGCTGTTTATTTCAAATTTTTAGTGCCTGTTTTGGGTCATTATAATTTCGGCCCCATTTTCCTGACAAATTCCCTTATTTCTAAAAAAATGTTCCCTCCAGCAGATTTTTTAGATCTTCTTTTATACCATGGACATTGTATTTTGAGAAGATAATGGTTTAATGTTACACAATTTAGCTAATTGATATTAAACTGTTTTTCTTGTAACTAAATTTTCCCTGTTTTCCTCCTATGTGATGCAATTTTCCCCTCTACATGGGCCTGCCATATGAAAATATGCATGATTATTACAGGATAACATTTAGTCATCTCAATCTTAAGTCTGAATGGTTGCAGATTACCTATGTTTTCTTGTACAACAAAGTTAGAATATATACAATTAAAGGAAAGACAATCATACACATGCTCATGCTGTATTTATAAATACAGAGATTGTATTTTATGAAATATGATAAATAGCAGGGGTTACAGTTACTTCCAAGTAAATGAATATGAATATTATGACATGATAATAGATAAGTAATAAAAAGAGCATCGAAACAAGAGGCTTTCTGATTTGTACGAGGGGGCATAGCCCCCAAGTATAAATCAGATTGCTGAGTGTTTTGATGTTCTTTCTCTTTTGTATCATAGTCAAACATAAAAACACGTTCCCTGATACTACAATATGAAACCCCACAAAAAAGTAACCAAATGAACGAGCATCTGAATAGGATATTTCAATCGCTGTCACTTTCTCTGTCGTCACAATATGTAAACCCCGGACAAAATGAACCAATCAAAGGGCATGCTCTGGAGTGCGGGTAACTAATACCTGCACTCCAGTTAATGCACTGTGCATGTATATGTATACGATTTACCTCTGTCACGTTTTCAACAGAAAGGTCCCCAAACTATGTTACAAATTAGACTAAGTGTACTTGTAAACAAAGTTAGATCAAGGTTGGTAAATACTAGAACATCATGATCCAAAATTAAAATAATTAATGTCAGTGATGAAAATTTAGTAAGACCCACATAATTTAAAAGATGTTTTGGTAAAAAGTTTGAACAATTATTTTTATTTTGTGACTTTTAAACATTGTATACTGAGACAAGAATGAGAAAGAATAAGGTTAAGAAGTAAGCTGTCTGAAGTGTTGTTATTACAAATAAGTCACAATGTTTTCTGGCGACTTGGAGAAAATACAAAAGATTATCAGTCAAATGTTGCAGTGCCATTTATATGGTAGAAATCTCCTGTACCTTATTGACATTTAAGCAGTTGCAAATTATTTCTAATAAAAGAACAGACTTAGCTGTGATATTTATCTTGTGTGACTTCTTCAGTTAGATTTTAATGTCAAACTTTCATTCTCAATGTGATGCATAGATAACCTTTATCTTAGAATGTTAGTAAGTAGGTGAAGAAAATGTAAACAAGTCTGAGATCACGTTTACATTTAAATGTGAGATATTTGGCAAGTGTTCATCTCACTGTGCCAGTATATAAACAACAGTAACTTCTGTATATATAGCGGTGCACATAATAATAGCTACTATTGTAATTTCATTTCAATTTTAGAGAACATTCAATGAGACAATATGAGTAACTTGTCAACATCAAGTGAAGATATAAAAGTAAGGAAGATGACAGACAACATTACAACACTACAGAGGGCGCTACAACGTATTAATGATGCCAAAAGGACACTGGGCAGAAATACCACAGAGGTAATAAAATCATTTCTTTGTTTTATTATCTGATTTATCATTCGGTTATAATAGGAAAGAATATTTAAACTGTGTTCAAGGTTGTTTTTTTTCTCACTTTTATAAAAGGAAGAGAGAAGAACCCTCACTTTTTAAGAAAACTATTTTAATAGGGGAAGTTCATTTATCTTAAATAATCTTTAATTGCATATATATATCAAAAAGTATATAAAGTATAACATTTATACATTAACATTTCTACACTGTATACAAAAGGGAAATTATAAATTAAACAAACCAGGTAATAACTGCCAATTAAGATATATCTTTATTTTTGGTATGAATTGCAATCTGATTACATTTGTAACCTTTACTAAAAATCTACAGGTCAAAAACCATCACCTTCTTTATTTATAGATAGACATAAGAACTTAAGCTAATTGACTGATATCTTGTTTAGTTGTGACACACATTTTTAGCTCGACTTTTCTATGAAAAGGGGAGCTATCCTACTCGCCCCGGCGTCGGCGTTGGCGTCACACCTTGGTTAAGTTTTTCGTACCACCCCACTTTATTTCAGAAGTATTACAAGTATGGCTTTGAAACTTACCATACTTGTTCACCATCATAACCTCCATCTACAGACAAGAGTACATAACTCTGTCAAGGTTTTTGACAGAATTATGGCCCTTTTTTGACTTAGAAAGTGTATTGAGCTTGGTTAAGTTTTTTGTACCACCTCACTTTATTTCAAAACCATTGGAGGTATTGCTTTGAAACTGACCATACTTGTTTACCATCACGACCTTCATCAACAGACAAGAGGACATAACTCTGTCAAGGTTTTTGACAGAATTATGCCCCTTTTTGACTTAGAAAATACATTGAATATGGGTAAAATCCACTTATTGCCTTAACCCTTTGAGATATTGCTTTGAAACTTTTAATGCTATTTCACATCATTACCCCCATCTGTACGCAAGAGAAGGTAACTCTGTCAAGGATTTGTTTTAAAATTAAGGCCTTTTATCGACTTAGAATCTTGGTTAAGTTTTTAGTACCAGTCCACTTTTTGACTGAACTGTTTGAGATATTAATTTGAAAGTTGGAATACTTGTTTACAATCATGATTCCCAAACATGTCCAGGAGAAGGTAATTCTGTCAAAGATTTTATTTGAATTATGGCCCTTAACTGTCAATGTTTTGTATTATAGGCAAGCACTAAAAAACTTAAAAAATCTAAAAAAATTCATTCCTATCCACTTGTTCACTTTACCATAAATTATGTCATATAAACATTGCTGTAATATTCAAGGGTATCAAACAACTAGTTTTTTTTTCTTTCTTACCAGCCCTCTTTTGACTTAAACATTTCAAACTTTGCTGCAGTGTTCAAGGGTATCACACAATTCAGTAAAATAATTCTTCACTAAATATCTTAATGCTCATGGCCATTGTTCACTTTAAAAATACAGAGATTCTTGTATTGCCTTTTACTGCAAAAACTTTTTTTATTGGCAAGCAATAAAAAAGTCGAGCGCGCTGTCTTACGGACAGCTCTTGTTGATATTTATATTGTCAATAGATCATTAAATTGTATACTTAATGTTTCTAAGTATAACATACTTCTAACAGCAAAGTGTTTAAATATCATACACATTCTAATGGGGATTATCCAGTTCTAGTTTGCTCAACTTTCATACATTGATCTATTTATAGCTTTTATCAATGGTCAGCTTAACTAAACTTGGACTAGATTCAATTCATGTCAAGTTCAATTTATATAGTGTAGTTAAATTACATATATAGTAACACGTGTGACCTATGATTGACCATATGGGAATAAAGTTGGTATTGTTACTTAAAAGGTAGAGGTCAAGTACCTTAGGGCTAATGAAGAAATAGCTGACAGTTGAACTATCAGCTATATATTATGAGTAAACCTTGTAATCTGTAAGGAATTTACCTTCTAAATTATAATGAGTGTGACAAAAAAAGTATAAAATTATTATTATACATGTCAAATACAGTAATGATTATTATGTCACAAAGAACATAGTAATCTAGGTACATGTAGTATGGTGTAAATAGAACATTTAACCCATTTATTGTCGGTGTACAGTATAGACATTATAAAGATCTATATATGACATTAGTCACATCAGTATAGATCATAACCAGCTTGAAAATAAATTATTCTCCTGAACAGGGATACAAATTATATAGTCACTGCTTCATCCATCTGTCTGTCTGTCTGTGCAGTGTACTGGCATGTCACTGTGGATACTTAATTAGAAATAAGAGACCAAAAGGTGACAGGTGACAGCAAATTAACTATGAGATTTTATGTGGCTTAAAGAACATTTGGGAAGAACAATCACTGATTACTATAGTTAAATATTATAATTATCCATGACCCACGTTTGGCCAGATAATATACATTAGGGCCATTGAATAGTAAAAAAAAACAAGAAAGAACAATAGACTTCATGGTGTTACAAAACATTATTTGGGTGTGGTGCTCTATACAACAAAAGAAAATAAACAAATGTCTTATTAGTACAAATGTACCGTAAAATTCCTATTAAACGCCCCCGGGGGGGCTAAACATTTTCCAAAAGGGGGGCTATTATTACAACACAGTTTTTCCTAAATCCAAAAATCATTGTAAATAGTTAAAATACATTAAGTGTTAGCAACTGTTGGTAATAACATTAAAAAGTGTTAAGCTTTTAAAGTTCATACTATAAAATAAAATGGATTCTGAATGATTTGAATCAACAGAAAATGAATTACGGTATCAAAAATTAATGACTTTTTCATCTTTTAAATTTTTGTCATACTGTTATACCCTCTGCCACATTCAGATGTAGACATTTTCAGATTGTGTCAGGTGGTAGGCTTAGTCAGTCACAGCGATATATATTTATTATAACCCCAAAAAACAAAGTTTGGGGGGGGGGGGGTATATAGGAGTCACCCGGTGGTCGGTTGGTTGGTCGGTCTGTCCAGACGTCTGTTGCATTTTCCTTGTCCGGAGCATAACTTGAAGACTAATGGTTGGAATTCAATATAACTACATACAATGGTCAAGCACATTGAGAGGAAGTGCAGTGCACAAGAACCATAACTCCATCTTGACTAATTACAGAGTTATTGCCCTTTGTTACTTTTCCATTGCTTTCTTTTGTCCGGACCATAACTTGAAGACTAATTGTTGGAATTCAATATAACTTCATACAATGGTCAAGCACATTGAGAGTAAGTGCAGTGCATAAGAACCATAACTCCATCTTGACTAATTACAGAGTTATTGCCCTTTGTTACTTTTCCAGAGCATAACTTGAAAACTACTGTTTTGAATTCAATACAACTTCATACAGTTGTCAAGAACATTAAAAGGAAGTGCAGTGCACAAGAGCCATAACTCCATTTTGACAAAATACAGAGTTACTGCCCTTTGATACTTTTCCTTGTCAGGAGCATAACTTAAAACGTACTGGTTGGAATTCAAAACAACTTCATACAATGGTCAAGCACAATAAGAGGAAGTGCAGTGCACAAGAACTTGTGCAGTATTTATAGAGTTATTGCCCTTTGTTCCTTTTCTTTGTCTTTCTGGATTTATTACAGAGTAATTCAATAAAACTTCATCAATGGCCAACCAAATTGAAAGGAAATGCAACATACAAGAACCACAACTATCTTTAATTGCCCACAACCATAACTTTTTATTTCAATTCTTTTACACAGTATTCTGTTACTAGTAACATCCTCATTTCCGAAGCAGCCTTGTGGGGGTATTAATCACATTTAGTGATAGTTCTAGTTTTAGTTAAAATAAAAATATTACAGTCCTTGCAATAAAAGACCAGAAGTATACACACTTAATATAATTATACAAGTATGAGCATTCCTGTATTCTACTTGGTACATATTTTTCATATATTACTAACTTTTCCATTCTATACATATATATATATATATATATATATATATATATATATATATATATATATATATATGTGTGTGTGTATATCTTAAAGAGCAAATCTTCCCAGCAATTTAGCATGGAAACAGATTTTTTTCTTTTTGTTGCCAAAACTTTACTTTCAAGTAATATTTAGACTGTTTTATTAGTGTTATAGCAAATTTATGAAGGTGTGGATAACTGTATTTATATACATAGTAAAATAAAATGGGTTCACACTTTATGCATTCCCCTTGTAGCTGAAGGGTTACCTTTAAGGGTGGAGGCATCATAAGTGCAGACACCGTTTATGCCCTTTATGATTGTAAGAGGCGACTATATGGGTTTGAATTACTAGTCTATGCATCTCTAAGCTCCAGCAGGTGTGGTGGCTTTGACACCTTATGTTCCTTTAAGTTTGTAACTTACAAGGTTAGCAAAAATCATTATTCCTGTTTCGGCACCGTATGACCAAATTTGTGTTGATGCACCATAAAACCAAACAGACACTTTATACATGTCATTAGTTTTCTCTCCTAGAAAAAAGTACTTGCTTTCAGGCATCTTTTTGTATCATCTGGAAAAAAATTTGCTCACTAATTTGAGAAACGATTGAGTCATTATAATGTATTAAGTTGTCTTTCTTTAAAGTAGTTTTCATCATCTGGTTAGCTGGCAGCTAAATTTTCTAATTACAAAGCTTATAATCAATGAAGAACACAATTACAAATTTTCTGATGTATTGATTTTAGAAGAAAATTTTACGTCACAGCTTAAAACTGTTTTAATACAATGTTTGGGACCAACAACAGTTTGATTAGAACAAGATTTTTGCATTTTGCTGTCTGAGTTTGTTTCTTACTTTGATATTTAGAGGTATAAACTGGTGACTTGGTAACATTTTTGAAAAACAAGGATTTAATTAGGTTTTTTTTTTTAAAATAAAAAATATTGATATTAAGATTGAAATATTTGATTAAATTCAGATGGAAGGTACATGTATTTTATTTTTCTTATCTTTTCCTTTTGGTTTGTTGACTTTCTTTTTTCTAAATCACCACTTAAAAGAAGAAAAGAATGTAAAAGATTGCTTGTTTTTGTATAAGAGACATCTTAGATCTAATTATTAAAAATCTAATAGACAGTTGTCGGAGTCACAATTTTCTTTCATACAGTATTTTAGAACTGGCTTTGACCTGGTTACTTTATACATGTAGTATGATTTTCGTTATTTGTATTCTGTGAAAATTTATTCTTATTGATCTATATACAAGTATTCTTTGGAACATGTAGATGACCTCTTCTGTTAACCCTTTACCTCATATTTACGGGAACCAACACACTTTCGCCCCCCCCCCCCCCCATTTTTTCTAAGGCTTCAAATAGTAAACAAATGTCCTGTTTGAACCCCAAACACATGTTTTCATTTGAGAAATGTTGATCACTTTTTTCGGCGCTGCCCCAATCCAAAAGGTACTTCAGAGGGTTGCCAGAAGGGGAATGTGCCCCCTTCTGTTTTTTGGGGGGGGTTGAAGGGGGTCCTTCATCGCCAAGAAAACTTTGGACTTGTGAGAGGCTAAAATGGTCCCAGGTAGATAATAAGGTAACGTGTAACCAAAGCTGAAAAGCCTTTGACTATCTGAATCCATTGAGAAGTTGCAGCACTTTGAAATCAATTTTGATAGAAAAATCAATGCAAAATAATGATTTTTGGCAATTTTGAGATGTCCCCTCATTGTCATGGTAACAGGAAATTTAAGACTGAACATGTTGTTTCAAAGGCAATGGTCCTGTCAACATTTGTGCCAAGTTTGATTAGTATTGAAGCAGTTTTTATTGTTTCATAGCAATTTGAACACTTTCAATGAAAACAATGAAAACAGCCATTTTTCACAAAATGCTCATGCAGTAATGGGTTAATGACCTTGATTGTTCAAAGGTCAAGGTTGTTGTTGCCATGTATAGCTTTTAGTCATTAATAAGTGTGACAATTTTGGCATTAGCTGTCAAAGTGTATTGTATAATATACATTATAACATTATATGATTATGATGATGTGAATATCAAAGACTATGGCCTTAACTAGTGTGATATTTACAATGGCTTAAATAATAATCATAATTCATTTTAATTTCATAGAAATAACTTCATTAATCATAAACATGCTGATTTTTTTTTGATTGACTTTAAGGGATATCAAGGTGAAAATTTGAAGTTGGTGACCCTACAGTAAAGAGTCCAGTCAGCAAGGATGTGCAATCTGGCCTGGCTCTATACTAGTGACAAAGGCTTATCAGTAATGGCTTCAGCAGGGTAAAGGGCTCATCACAGGCTCACTTTAATTAGTGACATTATTACCTTGCCAGTTTATTTGTATGAAAAAGAACAACTTATATATAAGATACTATATCTAGTGAGCAGAATGATGACCTATTTTACTTGTACAGTATGTCAGCTCATGAGGTCAAAGGAGTAAGCATTATCATCAGTTTGCAAAAACATGATGGATTTTTTTTGTCTGGGTTTTCTAGGGCTAAAGTTAAGTTGACATTGATATAAACTATTTAATAACCCACATGTATGAAAACAATGCTATGTACAAAATTTAATATGAACCTTATTGAAAATTCAGTTTGAAATTTTGCCTGCATTTGATTGTTCTTTTTTTGTCTTACAGAATTATAGATTAGATAGATTGTATCAGTTTGTAATGTTTCATATATTTGTAGGCCAAGTCTAGGATACAGTGTAACATCAGTCGTCAACTAGAGACACTACGTAACAGAGAGGTGTGGTTACTGAATCAGTTAGATGTTGTATCAAGTGCCAAGGAGGAAGTTCTACAACAACAATCGGCTCGCCTTAACCAGACCCTCGGAGTGTTACAGAGTGCTGTACAGTTTCCTAACAGCAGTGCTGATAATATTGCCAGGTATATAAAAGATTGTCGTAAGAATCAAATGATGTTTGTTAGAATGCACCAGGTAAGTTGGAATCAAGTCATGTGTGTTAAACTGGCGATGATATTGACAGACCTGTATACCATTGTTACAGAATAAGGACAGTTAGCTCATCCGTGAAGTCTGAGAAGACCATATGATTTACACTGTTTGATAAACTATCACATAAGTTACAGGGTGAAAACACAGTAATATAGAATAAAAAAAGAAGATAATAAGTTGTGCACAACTGCATTTACTTCACAGGATCATAATGTATTTATTAAACAACCTTTGTTATTGTGTTTTCTAAAGAAATAATGATGTCAGCACTTGTGTTTATCATGTGTTAGCTAAGCTATGTTTATCATTTTGTCAGCTGATTTGTGTTTATCATGTGTCAGCTAATTTGTATTTATCATTTTGTCAGCTGATTTGTGTTTATCATGTGTCAGCTGATTTGTGTTTATCATGTGTCAGCTTATATGTGTTTATCATGTGTCATCTAATTTGTGTTTATCATGAGTCAGCTAATTTTGATGATGATATGAATCTCTTTAATTCAGATAGATATACTTGAATAATCTGTAAAATATTTGCTAGTTGATAGCTTATCAGTGTTAAGTAAACCTAGGTGTCATGTAATGATATGAAGAGAGACGAGTTGTATTGTTGGTCAGGTTTATGTAAATATTGTTATTATCCTAGAAAATACACCCAATATTTATCAACATGTATTATGATAATTGATAGGAAGACATGTTATAAAGATTGAGAGCATGTATACCCTCCTGATGTTGTACCAGTTACATGATAGTGTTCTACATCAATGTCAAGGTTTCAGAGTCTTCATGTACCCATTTCTCCAAAATTATCATAATTTATGTAAACTTTAGCATAGATTTTTACTGAAGCATATATCTGTCTGTATAAAGTCTATCTCCACAACTAATGAAGGCATTCACTTGAAACATCACTAAGTCTCCTGGAAGAACCATAACTCCATCTTGACTAATTACAGAGTTATTGCCCTTTGATATTTTTCCTTGTCCGAAGCATAACTTGTAAAGTACTGGTTGGAATTCAAAACAACTTCATGAAATGGTCAAGCACAATAAGAGGAAATGCAGTGCACAAGAACCATAACTCTGTCCAGAGTAATTATAGAGTTATTGCCCTTTGTTGCTTTTCCATTGCTTTTTTCTTGTCCAGAATATAACTTGAAAACTACTAGTTGGAATTCAATACAATTTCATACAATGGTCAAGTATATTGAGAGAAAGTGCAGTGCACAGAAACCATAACTCTTTCTTGACTCATTTAAGAGTTTTTGCCCTTTGTTACTTTTTATTGTCCAGTGCATAACTTAAAAATTAATGGTTGGAATTCAAAGAAACTTCATACAATGGTCAAAGGCAGTGAGATGAAATGCATTGCACAAGAACCATAACTCTATTTGGACTAATTACAGTTATTGCCCTTTGTTACTTTTTTGTCCAGTGGATAACTTGAAAACTAGTAGTCGGAATTCAATACAACTTCATACAATGGTCAAGTACAATGAGAGGAAGTGCAGTGTACAATAACCATAACTCCATCTTCAGTATTTGTAGAGTTATTGCCCTTGTTCAATTTCCTTGTCAGGTGCATAACTTAAAAACTAATGTTTAGAATTCAATGAAACTTCATTCAATGGCCAAGCGCAATGAGAGGTTATGCAGTGCTCAAGAAGCATAACTCTTTTTGGACTTTATTACAGAGTAATTCAATAAAACTTAATCAATGATCAAACACATTGAAAGGAAATGCAATATACAAGAACCACAACTATCTTTAATTGCTCACAACCATAACTCTATTTCAGTTCTTTTGCAAGGTATTCTGTTACTAGTAACTTCATCATTTCGGAAGAGTCTTGCGGGGGTATTAATCACATTTAGTGATAGTTCTAGTTATGTTTTGAAAACTTACAGAATTCCTGCATACTGAGAATGATCCCAGTAAAGCTTGTTATCCATCTGACAACTGTTTTTAACTTGCTATATTGAATGTTTATCATGTATTTCTTTAATTTTATTTATATATCAGGGCCTTTTTACCTTCTATAACAGGGGCCGGTATAGGGCTGCTTCCCCAAAGAAAATTTCTTTAAAATCATGCAGTTTTCCCCAAAAATTGAATTTACATAAAGTTTTTTCTTCCCCTTTTGCAAATATATTGTGTAATTTTTCCCCAAAATTAGGGGCTGGGCTGCTTCCCCAAACTATGAAAAAATGCCCTGTATATATAATCATTGTGTTCTTACAGACTGGATCTTTGTGACATACAACCAGAAGAGACTCCTAACATATGTTTCAAGTCAGATCCCAGTGCTCTCAGAAATGCCATCATGAGTTATGGTTGTATTGATCCAAACAATGCCCCACCAGTAACTTCTCCGTTCATGGCTCCAAATCAAACTGCTCCCAGTCTGCCGAAACAGTTTGAAGACTACAATGATGCTGAGCACCATGTACTTTATAAGACAGTAGAAGAGATAAATAGGACAAAATACAATGAGCCTTGTGTAAGTACTGTATATGTGTGATATATCTTGTATAATTACTGCATATGAGTTTGTGGAAGAATTTGTGTGAGTACTGTATATGCTTGTGTGGTAGACTTTTGTATAAAAACTGTATATGTGTGGTTGTCCTTGTTTAAGTACTGTATATGATTATGTGTGAGATCCTGTATAAGTACTGTATATGATTGCGTTGTAGCGCCTGTTGTATAAGTACTGTATATGATTGTGTGGTAGATCCTGTTGTATAAGTACTGTATATGATTGTGTGTGTGTTGTATAAGGACTGTATATGATTGTATGGTAGATCCTGTTGTATAAGTACTGTATATGATTGTGTGGTAGATCCTGTTGTATAAGTACTGTATATGATTGTGTGGTAGATCCTGTTGTATAAATACTGTATATGATTATGTGGGAGATCCTGTATATGTACTGTATATGATTGTGTGGTAGATCCTGTTGTGTAAGTACTGTATATGATTGTGTGGTAGATCCTGTTGTATAAGTACTGAATATGATTGACCATCATTGTGTAGTAGATCCTGTTGTATAAGGACTGTATATGATTGTATGGTACAGGCCTCGACACTAACTTTTTTAGCAAGTGGTAAGCCGGACCACTAGATTTAAAATTTAGGTGGTCCTTCCGGAAGTCAGGTGGTCAATTATTATTACCATATTATTGTTTTATTGTTTTATTGTTTTTGAATTTTGACTCTTTGACTGCAGATTTAGAAAAAAATGTTTTGAATTGATGACAAAGATGTATAATTTCCTTTTACAGTAAAGAAAATAGATATAATTAGATATATATTTTTTCATCTAATTAGAAATGTAGGAGAGCAAGTCAGTAGGTATTCTATCGTAAAGTTATCTGGTTTTCTTTATCTCATTCAGAAATACATAATAGGGTTTGTACTTACGTTATTGTTATATTAAAACGACTACTCCCCCAACTTAAGTTAGGAAATAGTGAAACCATTTATTGTATATCTGCCTTATTTTCTTACTGTTATTCAAATAATCATTGCTGATACATATGGTGCTTCTAACTCTTATAATCATGATCAATTTCTTTTATAGATTAACATTTTTAATAAAACTATTTGGAATCTGATTATCTAATTCTTGTCTTTAAAAACAAGGCAATATCTAAGGATAAAAACATAATAATACCAACGTTAAATATCATTATAGTTTAACTTATTTTTCTCCAAGCTTATCATACAGAATTTTTACCTCCCTGTTGCTTGTTGGTTGATATTTATTTTTGACATTGACTATTTTTAACCTTTTGAAGTAATTTAACTTTGGAAGAAATGGATCTCTTATCGTTAAAATAAAGATAAGTAGCAAAGAATTACAAGTTAATTTTTTTCCATTTCAGTTCATTTGCTGCCATTATTCAAGTATCTGAATTTAATTTCATCCAATGTTCCATACAATATCATAATTACTAGCAATAGAATCATTTGAATGAATTTTCAACCTAAATTAATATCACAAATTCTTACCTCTTTTAACTTGCATAAACAAAATTTTAGCACCTTAAAATGAAAGTTATTGATGACTTAAGAACTTCTTGAACTGATGAGAGATTAATAAACCGTATACTAGTACATGTTTATCGGACAAATGATTTTAAACACCAAGTTTATAACATGTTTTTGACCAAATCGTCATACTCCCAAATGAGCCTTGCACCACCCAGATAATTCAACTGGTCTGACGGACCAGTGTCTTTTAAAAGAAGGTGGTCCTTGCCAAAATCAGGTGGTCTCGGACCAACGGACCACCGCTAATGTTGAGGCCTGATGGTAGATCCTGTTGTATAAGTACTGTATATGATTGTGTGGTAGATCCTGTTGTATAAGTACTGTATATGATTGTGTGGTAGATCCTGTTGTATAGGTACTGTATATGATTGTGTGGTAGATCCTGTTGTATAAGTACTGTATATGACTGTGTGGTAGATCCTGTTGTATAGGTACTGTATATGATTGTGTGGTAGATCCTGTTGTATAGGTACTGTATATGATTGTGTGGTAGATCCTGTTGTATAGGTACTGTATATGATTGTGTGGTAGATCCTGTATAAGTACTGTATATGATTATGTGGGAGATCCTGTTGTATAGATACTGTATATGATTGTGTGATAGATCCTGTTGTATAACTACTGTATATGATTATGTGGTAGATCCTGTATAAGTACTGTATATTTGTAACAGACTTTGTGTAATTACTGTATATGCATGGTAGACATTGTTTAATTTCTGTATATATGTGTGGAAGACCTTGTGTTGAGGCTACTTCGTATACCACTTCAGGTGCAGGTGAATATTCCAAAGTTATCAGGGAGAATAGAAGACTGGCTATTGTACCCCTCTGGTAGTTCTGCTGTAACCTCTGACCCCAGATTTACCTTTCCACAACTCTCCAACAACCTTTCTGATTGGCTGAGAGCTCCTTTGTCTGTGACATCAACCTCGAAGCAGACACCAGTAATGAGCACATTGAAACCAAGTACATTGACTCCAGTTGAAGGTTAATATATGTTTATATTAAAAATTTTCCTACTTTATTAATAGGGAAGGGAACAAATAATTGAATATTTAAAATCCTCTCATTATTTTGATAATGAAATATTGCACACTGCATAATCTGTACATGTGAACATATTGCACACTGCATAATCTGTACTCGTACATGTGAACATATTGCACACTACAAAATCTGTATTGTGAACATATTCCACACTACAAAATCTGTATTGTGAACATATTGCACACTACAAAATCTGTACATATGAACATATTGCACACTACAAAATCTGTACATATGAACACATTGCACACTACAAAATCTGTACATATGAACATATTGCACACTACAAAATCTGTACATATGAATATATTGGCAATATAAAAAGAGGCTAGTTTGGTTGGGGAAGTAGCCGATATTCTGCATCTTTAAAGAAAGGTTTTTGGCCCTGATTGCTCACTACAAAACCTGTACATGTAAACATATTGCCTATTTTCCTGTTGTATATTGGGTAAGAGTTTAATACTTTGTACACCTGTCATTTACAATAATTAATTTTTTGTATCAGGTATATCAACAGATGCAAGTATCAAAACATGGCTACACAAGATAAAGCAGAGTCCACATGAGGAGGAGGAAGAGGACTATGATTTTGTTGAGGAGATTTCAGGTAATAACCCATGTCTTTCTGAGTCATTTATACTCAATAGTGACAGTCAGTTTTTAGCTTGACTTTTCGAAGAATGGTGGGGCTGTCTAACTCACCTAAGCACTTGTGTGTCAGTGTCCGCATAAGCGTAACACTTTGGTTAAAATTTTGCAAACAACTTCTTGTAGAACTTAATATCCCATCAACCATTCAAGATATTTGCTTTTGACAATTGTATGGAGGTAAATATGTAAAGCCCATAACACTAGCATGGATTTGACTTAATTATGGTCTTTTATGAACTTAGAAATTCCTTGTTAAAATGAAATTCAAAACTGTTGATGGTGTTCTTAACTTAACTCAAGTTTTCGGGATCATTATTGAAGGTCACTGTCCGAGATCTAGAACTCTGAAATGGATTTGAATAAAGTATTGCCCTTTGTGATCTCACATATTCCTGATATATAACTATTATTGTGCATTTTGAATGATTTTTTTTCCTCTTTGTTAATTTCTACTCTACTCAGGCTTTTGTTTTACTACCAAGCACTAAGAATTGTCAAGAGCACTGTCCTTCTGACAGCTGTTATTATTTCTGGGATAGTATATCAAATAGCTTGAATATTTGGGTGTTTAAACCAACAGACTTGACTGATTATTTTAAAGATCAACTTTATATATCACTATAATTATAGGTAGATGAATCTTCTTGTTAAGAGAGAAAAATCCTGATAAATTTCACATACTATATATCACAGATTTTGACTGCTGTTCTTTTATATTACAGATGGTTGTTAATATTGTCCTAATAGGTCAGAATATATGTAAGCTCTTGACTTCAGCATATAAAATTATCCAATATTTAAGGACAAACATTAAGTCAATTTCTTGAGTAGACTAGTTTCTGATAAAAGTAAGAAGAATGTGTTTGTTGTTGTTTTTTAGATGATAAATAGTTTTATGTTTGACATTTTTTTGTGTAGATACAAGAACACAATGTAGCTTAGATAACTTGGATGAGTTCATTGATGACAGAGAGAATTGGTTGCATCATACTGATGACCTTGACCTTACACCACACGTTCTTGTACAGGTAATAAAATATAATGTTTTATTATTTATAAATATGTTACAATTGCCCTTAAACAATGTCTTGAAAATATAACAAAAATAGAAATAAACATACAGTACTTTATCAATTCTAGAATTGAAATTTTTTGTACAATTTTCTTTCTTGGTTCATGTTAGTGCTCAAAATTGTCCTTCTTGTACATACTTACCATTGTTTTGATTGGAATTAGTTAGAAAATTGTTATGACAGAATGCCATTTAATAAACATGCCCTAGTTCAAGTATTTAAAACAAAATGGTGCTCTGCACTTTACAACATACATATATCTGCAGTAAATATTATGTATAGAAATGGGAGATTTTTCATTGTTTATTGTTTATTTTATCACAGATTAAGTCCCAGCCACTAGAGAAATGGTTACTGAGGTCGAGCAAGTCCTCGGTGAGATCTGAGGAACCAGTGTTGATTGATATGAGCCGCTACTTGAGGAAAGTCACTGATGAATTGGACCAATGGTTGTTACATGGAGCTAAACAAAATGATAGTGGAGTGGAAGATGAGAGTTTGGTTAGCGAACGTCTGAGACTTTCTGTGCCATTATCTCTGGAGATAGGCAGCTCACATCTGTCAAGGGTAGATAACCCCTGGATACACAGATCAAGGACAAGTACAAGGTCAAGCTGTTCATTTTCCCCAGTCTCCAGCAGAAGTTCCAGTTTCTCCAGTGTATCATCAAAGCGCCAGAATTGCAACAAATGGTTGCTGAAGGGGGCTAACTTTGATTCTACTACGGGAGTACATATATCATGTCCAATGATGGACAAATTTGAAAAAGATATGGCTAATGTATCCTGGATTCAATCTGATAGTAAAAACATGTCTTCAAGAAATGTCAATCCTATGGCCAACTTTGATACAGAAAACTTTGAGTCTGGAATGTGGCTGAAGCCCCCAGGACTGTCCAGTACCATGGTAACTGATGTAGATTCTCCTCTACAGAAAGTTCTTAATTTTCAACAGTCCAGTAACAGCTCTATATGGCTGCTAGATAGCCAGGTGAATGGTCCAACCCAGCCGGCATGTTTCGAGAAAATGTTTGATAAGGGAGGAAATCAATGGTTGTATCAACCATTTAATCCATTTGTTGAAGATGATTTGATAGAGGAAGAGATGTGTTAACATTTTTACTGTGGTTACTTTATATTTTACTGTTTCTTTTATCTTTGTTTTATTGTTAAATCATTGCTTGAAATCATAGAAGATAGGACAAGGTGTAACTTATATCTACAGAGACTTCCATCAGTTTATACATGTATTTACTTTGTTTTTATTCAGAGACTGTTTATTGGACTGTTGTATTCAGATTATCATCATTGTATTAAATCATAAATGTTACAGGTAGTGGCTTAAATTGATTTATGATCATATACAACTGCCCACTCTACCTGACAGTCATCTTATGGTCTGCCATCAATAACGTATGAAATTACCCTATAGGTCACAGTCAGAAATAGAAAGATGATGATACAATGTCACTGCACTACTTGATAAACCTAAATAGAAGGGGGAAAAAACCTTTCTCACAAAAATTTGACAACTTATGTTCCAGAATAATCTGATAGTTATATTAAACATCATTTACATTACAAGTTCAGTCACATGTATATATTTATTGTCATTATTTTCATTACAAAGCTATTCTTATATAGTGCTATACTGTGCTATCACAGCAGACATTGCTATCACTTTGTTTTCATGTAAATATTTTTAAAACATTCTACATATCATAAATTTTTATTCATGTTAACTTATTCTGTATAATATAAGCAGTATGAAGAATGATTTCAGAATTTACAGCATATTATGACCTTCAATCTTTTTGTATTATTTCTTCACTTTGTTTTGGGATTCCAGAAAATATTTTGCGTGTGATGTTTCAATGTCTGGGATTCCTTGGAATTTTGGAAATAACCCAGAAAATACTATTGGAAAACCAGGCAAATTATAACAAAGACAGTGGTGTTTGTAATTTGGTTTTCCAATGACTCATACACAACCTGTTAACTATTATAGCATTTAAACAAGCTGTTGTGTCTGTAGAGAAAAACAACATAGAGCTATGTCTCATACATACAAGTATAAATTACTATTATATTAATTACTGACAGCCAGTCACTTTATGATATCATTGGCTCAGAATAAAAACAAATTGTAAAAGTACTATTTTCTCTATATTTATATATTTTGTCCTTTGTTTTTAATATTTTTATTCTATTACATGTTATTGTTTTATTTATGTTGGTAATTTTTATTTTAATTTTATTACTATTGACGTCAGTAGTATCATATCACATATAAGCATTTATCTGACATTATGTTATAGGTACATCAATGTCCTGGGCTATATATATATCAGTCACCCCAGGGAACTCTGATCATATTCTTCTATATTCTGTTTTAATCAGAAATAAAAAAAGTTGTGTTTTAATCAGTGTCTCTTCTGTTTTAGTCTTATTCACTATTGTAAAGAAAGCTGAAAATATATTGCAATAAGCTATTTTTGTTAAATACAAAAATGTCAGTAAACATTAATTTTATTGGTTTATATATGTATCATACATGTGAACATTTTTTTGATGATCAGGCGGGAAATTTTTATTCAAAAAGAGGGATATTTTGGAATTTTCAATAAACAAAGAAGGAAGTTCTGGAGATTTCTTTAATTTGTGATAATACCCCTTATTTTAAAGATCCTGTTACACAATTTTTTTCATGGTTTTATTGTGTCGCCTCTACTGAGTAGTGGCGACATATAGGGATCACTTCTCCGTTGTCTGTCTGTCCATCCGTCACAAAACTTGTCCGGACTACTCCTCATAAACTACTGGTGCAATTTCATCCAAACTTTACAGGAATGATCAGTACCAAGTCTAGTTGTGCATATTGTCAGCATTTTCCGGTTCAATGATTTTTGTTAGAGTTATGGCCCTTTAATAATTTTTAATTTTAAAGTTTGTCCGGACTACTTCTCTTATACCACTAATGCAATTTCAATGAAACTTTACAGGATTAATCTGTAGCTCAAGTCCTTGCGCATATTGCACGGGTTTTCCGGTTGAATGATTTTTGGCCGAGTTATGGCCCTTTGATAAAAAGGTGTTTTTTTCTGTGTGTTGCCAGATACACAAAAGCTTGTCCGGACTACTCCTCATAAACTTCTGGTGCAATTTCATCCAAACTTTACAGGAATGATCAGTACCAAGTCTAGTTGTGCACTGTCCGTCTGTCTGTCAGTCTGTCACAAAATTTGTCCCAACATGAAATTGGCCAGCATGAGGCGACACATGTGATTACTGATCGCTCTTGTATCATAGATATGATGCTCAAATTAAGATTTATCAATAGTTAGAGTTCCAAAAAGCATTATTTATAAAGATATTACCAAATTTAACATTTCATGTAATCAAAGGAAGGTACTTAAGAATTTATTTTCTTTAAAGTCAGTCAAATTTTTCAAAAAGAAATGAATGCATATATTTTAATGTTAATATATAATGTGCACAAATATTTGCAGTACATATTTTACATATTCTTCGATGTTTGCATATGTTATACATATATAAAATTTCAGTGTGGTTACAACCTCAATTACAATATACAGGATCTGTAAAAAAAATCTATGAAAATATGGCTGCAGAAAGTGGGAGTCTCCAGCTAAAAGGGGGAGAGTTCACATGTATGTATTTATGACAACTAATGTAGCCACCAAGCACTTCGCTTCAGAAAACCAAGCAATGCTTGGTATTACGAAACTTTGGTCACTTTTTAACAACATACCAAAAGCTGCCAAATGCAATAGAATTAATGGTGATATGGTTGGTTATCAGAATACTAAATTAAGGTTGCTGATGGTGTAGTTTGGTCAGACTGAATAGATAATTAGGCTGGTCTTCCTTAAAACTGGTGGTGTTAAGTGCATTTGGAAATTTATCAAAATGGCTATTTCTTTATTTTTTTAAGATTATAGCACATTGCCATCTATTCACTTCAGTTAATAAATTTGCACTAAGGCAAGCAAGCCATGTTTTTTTTTTATCCCCCGCCGAAAAGGCGGCGGGGGATATAGTAATAGTCTCCGTCCGTCCATCCTTCCGTCCATCATTTTTCTCCGGAGCATATCTCAAAAAGTATTTGAGTTATCAACTTGAAACTTCATAGGTGGATAGACCTCATTTAGGAGGAGTGCATTGCGCAAGAATGATAACTCTACCCTGCATAATTTTTAGTTATTGCCCTTTGTACTTTTTCAAAATTAATTTTTGTCCAGAGCATAACTCAAAAAGCCTATGAGATATCAACATGAAACTTCATAGGTGCATAGATCTCACTCAGGAGGTGTGCAATGCACAAGAATGATAACTCTACCTTTCATTATTTTTGAGTAATTGCCCTTCGTTATTTTTCATACTTAATTTTTCACTTGAGTGGAGCATAACTCAAAAAGTGTTTGAGATATCAACATGAAATGTCATAGGTGGATAGATCTTATTGAGGAGGAATGCTGTGCGCAAAATGATAACTCTTCCCTATGCAATTTTTTAGTTATTGTCCTTTGTTCTTTTTCATGCTATTTTGTCCGGAGCTTATCTCAAAAAGTATTTGAGGTATCAACTTGAAACTTCATAGGTGGATGGATCTCATTGAGGAGCAGTGCAGTGCACAAGAATGATAAATCTACCCTGCATAATTTTTGAGTTATTTCCCTTTGTTATTTTTCAAAATTAATTTTTGTCCAGAGCATAACTCAAAAAGCCTTTGAGAAATCAACATGAAACTTCATAGGTGCATAGATCTCACTCAGGAGGTGTGCAGTGCACAAGAATGATAACTATACCTTTCATACTTTTTGAGTTATTGCCCTTTGTTATTTTTTATACCTAATTTTTGACCGCCTCCTTGGTCGAGGGGTTAGAGTCGATGACTTCTAATCCAGTTACCTCTCTGGCGTGGGTTTGATCCCCGGGAGATGCTTTGGTAGTTTAGCGCGGAGGAAGGTAGTCTAGTACTGGTGTTACTCTCCAGGAACGATGGTTAGGAAACTACCCGCCTATATGACTGAAATACTGTTGGAAAAAGGCGTAAAATGAAACAAACAAACAAACATACCTAATTTTTGACCCGAGTGGAGCATAACTCAAAAGTGTTTGAGATGTCAACATGAAATGTCATAGGTGGATAGATCTTATTGAGGAGGAATGCTGTGCACAAGAATGATAACTCTTCCCTATACAATTTTGAGTTATTGCCCTTTGTTCTTTTTCATACTATTTTGTCCGGAGCTTATCTCAAAAAGTATTTGAGGTATCAACTTGAAACTTCATAGCTGGATGGATCTCATTGAGGAGGAGTGCAGTGCACAGGAACGATAACTCTACCCTGCATAATTGTTTAGTTATTGCCCTTTGTTATTTTTCAAAATTAATTTTTGTCCAGAGCATAACTCAAAAGGCCTTTCAGATATCAACATGAAACTTCATAGGTGCATAGATCTAACTCAGGAGGTGTGCAGTGCACAAGAATGATAACTCTACCTTTTATAATTTTTGAGTTATTGCCCTTTGTTATTTTTCATACAATTTTTTTCTCAAAAAGTATTTGAGGTATCAACTTGAAACTTCATAGTTTGATAGATTTTACTGAGGAGGGATGCAGCACACAAGAATGATAACCTACCCTGCATTATTTTCAGTTATTGCCCTTTGTTATTTTCAGCCATCAGTATTCACATAGGTTTCAAATCTGTAATCACTATAGCCATCAGTTTTCATTACCAAAAGATCTCTTAAAATGGAATTATTCTGCTCTACTACATATACATTCTTCCAATGAGCAAACAAATTCGGCGGGTGATGGCCATGTTTAATTTTTGAAAGTAATAACATTCTTGAACCACTTGGCAAACAGTATAATATTTAACTTTTCACAAAAATCAACACATTACAACTGCTTGATTGGGTGAAGAGATAAACTTTAGTTGCCTGTCACCCCCCCCCCCACACACACACACACACACACACACAACGCATATTCCATAGCTTAAGTTCAATCTATATTTGAGCTGAAGAAATAAACTAAGAGTAATAACTCTTCGGAGCTTAGTCTGATTAGATAACATGGCAAATTACACCCCCTTGCTGTGGTATTTAGTTAGGATTGCATCAGTTGAGCAGTTATTTCGCATTGACACTTTTTGGAGTTGACCCTTTACCTTTTTGGTTTCATCAACATTGCATTGCACGTTCATCTTACGCTTTAGTACACATCAAATGCTTCTATGAATCTGCAGATCATCTATATTCCACATCTATTCTAATATGTAGCTCAGTCTACAGTATATATATAAATCATAATTTTTTTAGAACAAGATTTTAACATTAAGGTGCCCTTGGCCTTGCTAGTTTATATACGACCTTTGTTTGTATGTTGATGATTTTTTCTTTTATATACAGTTGGGGAATTCCATTACTTTCGGTATGTAAAGTGCACAGGCGTCTAAACGCAGTAGACTGTAAATAGATTATTTAGGTCAGACTTTATTTCGGAAAATACTGACTACAAACTAGTTTGTTGCTATTAATAGACTTCGGGAAAAATATAATTTCCAAAGATCTAAAAATAGAATTCGAGGAAATTTGCAATCGCTATTCTTGGAAGCAATTTGATATAGGTATCACGTGACGACCCTTAAATACTATATTTTTCTGATCTTGCGACAGTCTTCGAATAATCGCCACGAAAGACACTTGTCGCAATTGTCAGTTTGCAAAAGTTATAGGATATTTTTAAATTTTGCAGCTCAGATAAAATTTACTGAACGGGTAAGTAAAGTTTTGTTGATAAAGTTTGCATTATTTAATTTACGTGGGCCGCCACAACTGCATAGACCTTTGAGCTGGACAGGTTGTTTATATTTTCTTTGTGCATAATGCCATACGGGAAATTTTAGAAAAATGAGTCTATGCACGCATATATAATTAGCTTTGTTTTATATTGCTAGTTATTTCTGATAATCTTTTTAAAATTTCTTCTGATGTATACAGTACAGTACATTTATGAATTTTGTTGAAACATTGAAGCAGTAGGAAATGAAATGTGATATTTTTTATAACCATTACAGTACTTGGTTTTAATTACGGAACATATTTCGGTACATAGATAGATATTTATTTAGGTTAAAACACACACATACAAAATACAACACTTGTGCATTTTAATATAAAAGTTATTAACTCATTGACCCCTGACGCCACGATAATGCGTCGGTTTAAACTTCTCTCCTATACCTAACGCCACGATAACGAGTCGATATCGACTTTACACCTGTCCTGCATGCCACATATATGCGGCTAGATAAGACTTGCTTTACTTCCCGGTCGCCACGTTGTAGCGTCGTAAATCATTGGTTGTTTTCAAGGTATTCCCCGAGAATATTTAAATATTAGCCAATCAGAAATTGGGTTACATTTTGAATAGAAAAACCGATGATCACGGAAGAGAAGAAAAAAAATTTGTAACTTGAATGGTTATAACATTAATTTGAGTTAAAAAATCATGGAAAACGACGAAAATCAGCCGTCAGTATTTGGGCTTACATGTGAGACCGATGCGGAGGATAATCCATTGGATTCTGATAATAAAATAAGATTGAATTTGACATCAGAAAGTAGTTTAGAAAATGAAAGTAGGAATTTTGACTGAAGGGGATTATGTCCGTACACCAAAATTATAAAATTGATAATTAAAAATGATTAAATAGTTCTGTGAATTATTTGCATGACTGTAATAAAACGGAGTAAATTACTTTTAACTTGTATAAAATATATTTATTTATTTATTTAAAACAGAGAAAAGCTTTAATTTATTATATTTATTAAGAATTAAAAGACATTTGTTTTGAAGTCTACCTACAATGGAAAGAGTGTAAATTTGGGTGTAGGTGTGAAATATTTTGCAAGGATTACAATGATAGTGGATTAAATTATAATTATTATATACCATGAATTAAACACTTTAAGTGGAAAAACATGTTATAAAATTCTATAAAAGTTTTGTTTTTAAAGGTTTACAATGAATTAAAACTAATTATTGTTGATATTTAATAATAAGAAAAAAAACTGTTAGTTGCTTCTTTCCTCTTGAATTGTGTGGGTTTATCTGACATCTCATACATAAAAATTATATCACCATGTGGCTAATTCAAATGTCAGCATGTGTGTCATATTTATTGTTAATTGGGTCATAAATGTGTCAATCATAGCCATTCAAGTAAAGTACCCCCAATAAACAGTGTACCAATAAAATTAATCTCAGGGAGACAGTGTAGATAAAATCAATAACATACACAGGGGATGGCTTATCAGTTCTTATCAGGGGGCAAGTGGACAATTACTATCAGGGGTCAATGAGTTAAAACAAAATTGTAATAAAATATTTCGGAAGTTTGTTCAATGTTAGTGAAAACATGTATATAAAGTAGTGTGCAATTACCTTAATTGGATTGCCCATGAAAAAAAAAAAGAAAAAGAAGAAAAAAACATCTTAGGAGATCTTTCTTCGAACCTTAAAAATATTTTTAATTCAAAGGTTTAAAGGACTGTCTGAAATCTTGATTTTAGCGTGAATGCGCACATATATATGTGTTGATTAATAATATTTTACTTTTGTTCTTTCGCGCTCTCCCAATTTCAAAGATAAATCATATACAAGGACTTATAAGTCGTACTATATTATTTATAAGAGCGACTATTTAACACACATGAAGCGATTTCAAACTTTTTTGCTGACGTGCTGTTGACTATTATGTCAATATGGCGGCAGTTTAAAGTATTGGATTTTTACCCGGGTTAGCTGAGCTAGCTAGATCACAATATGCATACTTGAACAAAGCGAGCCCTGGTGGTTACCGATATAAACATGTCTTTATTTTCACTTCCTTGTATTCACAATAGATAATTGTGTTTAATCAGATAGTCACTTGTGACACAATCAAGACACTTATCAAACAACAGGGACAGAAATTATACCAGATATATATGCCTACATGGTTGTTTTATTGCAAATTTATTTTAACTAATTACCTCGAATATTGCATTGGGTTCCCATTCTTTAAAGTGCGACTTAGGGATTCCCAAGTTTCACAAAATTTGGCATATGTCCAAAAACAAAAAATACAGTAAATTTTAGAAAACGAGGTAGACCTATATGTTCGTTATCGAGTTTATCTATACATGTATTAAGATTTCCGATTATGCTTATGATCATTGCTGTACATACAGTGCACAGTTGCGTAGTTTTCATTATTCTTGTTGTATATTGCAAAGTTATCATTCTTTTCAGACTTTGAAATGGCTCGTGGAAGACCAAAATCAGGCAAAAGTCGCCCATCGTTGAGAACAATTGAACGTAAACCAATACGTCCTCTTGAACGACAACGTATGCGTCCATGGTTAATGGAACTGCTCGACCGGAATACTTGTCACCAGCTGGTATGGATGAATAAAAAGGACAAGACCTTCCGTGTGTCATGGAAACACGCAGCAGGCCAGACATTCAATGCTTCTGCAGACGCCACATTATTTGAGCGGTGGGCAGTACATACCGGTGAGTTTTTAAAACGACTATACAGTAATTTGGTTTATTTTATTAAAAAGAGTCGTAAAATAGAATCCGAGTCCGAATAAAATACAAATGTAAAACATGTGCTGAAGAAATAGATTTATTTTCGAAGTTTAGAAAATAGAATACTGTTCTGTTATTCAGGGAAGTATTATCCTGGCGATCGTCCCGACCCTAAGAAATGGAAAGCCAACTTTAGATGTGCCTTGCATAGCGTCCCGGATGTGGAAGAGGACAAGTCGCTTGGTGTCAGGCGTGGTAATAATGCATACAGGGTTTATAAATTCCTAGATGAAAAGAGAATAAGAAAACCAAGTGTAAAGAAGGAGAAAGGTACGACTGGTTTCTGTCTTGATTTATATACCATTGACCAACTGATTTTGTGAATTTGATTTGCGCTATTCTGATTTTACTAAAAACAATCTTTTCAAAGTTGACAGAATATCAAAATGTAAAAAAAATAAGCCAGGAATGCATTGCAATGTATTTTTTACATAAAACTGTTTTGTTTGTTTTTTTAAAAAAGACCTTGACACGTTGCATGATTTGCTTTGTAAATATCACGTTACAATTTGCTTTGTTGTACTTTGAAATTTGATAAGCAATACATATAAAGATTTGAAAACCGGTGATAGTTGGCAAGTGTTCAAATATATTTTTAAGTAAAAAAATTATAATTACTCCTGTATACATGTATACATATCAACTTTTAACCAATGAACATGATTAATTGTAGATGAGAAGAGTTCGGATGAGGAGTTTGAAGATGAAGATTTTGCTTTGGTCAGAAACGTTGGAACAAAGTCAAGGCCGAAGAAAATATATCAAGATGACCTGGACAGTGAAGGGTCTGAGGTAAATAAATATATGTACATACCTTCCAAAACCCACCAAAATAATCTGTAAGTTTTCAAAATAATGGGAATTATATCAACTTATCAAGTAGTTTATGTGTTTATGGTACAGTAACTTGATATTTTAGCTATTATTTAATGAAGTATATTGCTGTTAGAAAGAAATCTTAATATCTCACTGTTGTTATATACACAGACTGGTTATAGCCCGTCACACGAGAGCAACCACTCTGACTGGGATCTCACAGATTTCCGACGACAAGATCACGATACGGAGGCAGAAAGATCACCATTACCAAACTTTGAGGAACTATGCCAATCATGTCGTAAGTGTATTCACTATTTTACTACATATAACATTATTAACTCTTCTCTAACAGCTGACAACACAGGAGTTTTAATAATTGATTCTTTGCCAAGTTATTTAAGTTTTTTGTCATGAAGTTACATAAATGAATTTTACCCGTACAAATAGCAAATATTGATTTTGTTGAGGTTTTAAATGCAGTATTGCATGTTAGGCAAACAAAAGAAAACATTTGCAGCTATATTAAAGTTACTTGCATGGTGATATGTGGCCTACTATAAAGTCTTTTGCTATCAGTTCAATGCAAATTATCCCATTTATTTAAAATACCTATCTTGGGGGGGGGGGGGTAATAAAGAAGTTATAAAAATCATTTTTAAGTGTTAAACTATCTCTTTACTTTAACTTCCTTAACTTCCTTAATATTTAATTATTCAACATGTTTACAAATACGTGTATACTGAAGTATGTCAGTAAGTGGCATCTTAAGTGAACAATGGTATCTTAGGAAATGACATTTTTTGATAACAGTTATATATGTCATTGTGTTACTTTCAGCCAACAGTTTCACAAATATTAACCACAAAAAGGTGAAACGTGTGCCATCCATTCCTAACCTAGAAATGCCAGCCGCGGAGACAACAAATGCTGTACGAAGTTTGCACACAATCGGGAATGAGATAAACAGCAGACAAGGTAAATTATCACTGAGATATTTAGGTCATCAATCAAATGATAAACTTGTCACTCATTGATCTAAAGGACTTTAAATCACATAGCTTATCTACATTATTATGTACACATAAACCTGATCGTTATATATACGTACGTGCACAACAACAAACCTATCTAACTTGATTTAAGAGACAATACAATGTATATATAATTGAGCCTTGTCATGACAAAACCAACATAATGGGTTTGCGGCCAGCATGGATCCAGACCAGCCTGCGCATCCGCGCAGTCTGATCAGGATCCATGCTGTTCGCTATCGTAATAGAGTTGGTAAGTGAACAGAATGGATCCTGATCAGACTGCGCGGATGTGCAGGCTGGTCTGGATCCATGCTGGTCGCAAACCCACTATGTTGGTTTTGTCGTGACGCGGCTCATATACATCTTAAGATATTGATTGATGTACATGAAATAATCTTGAAATGTTGAATATTTACAGAGGAAGCCATGGCTGACCACACCTACACAGAAAATGAACAGTCAGTAGGAGAATTAATCCTTTTCTTAGATGTAAGTTTGACAAGTTTAACATTGTCTTTGATTAATCCCAAAATTTCGATCGTTTCTGAAGTGAGGAATCAATACAAACAATAATAATATACATGTATATATATCATTTTTGGTATCATCCAAATTGTCAAAAACAGATAAAAAGGAACAAATATTTTATTAAAACATACAAAATATTTCAGTAATTAGAGGTTTAAATCCCAAGCTGCTCAATGTAATCAAGAAGTACGAGCTTGTACATGGTTTGTTTACTGAACATGCATGATCTCACCTTGATTGGTTTTAATAAAATAAAGTCATGTTTTGTTGTTGCAGTTTGATTCAAATGATCCAGAAATGGCAGTGAACTCCGAGTACATGAACTGTTTTTGGAACTCTGTTATAGACACGAACCTTGATGTACAGGAGGAGGTTGTGACGTCAGGTAATACAAATTTCAGATAAATTTCAGATCTTTGTTTGTTTAACGCACTATGAAAAGTATTTATACTAGTATGAGGTTGACCCTAATGTCTTAATCTGGATCTAAAGATATTACTCCATGTAATAATATGTTCTGTGTTTTTTTTCCACTGGTTTTAACTAAGTTTGTCGTATGTTAATTAATTACAGGTGACAGTTTTGATGGTCCAAGTGTGATAGTCATGGAAGAAGAAGATCATTCACACGACTTTGTAAGTGATTTCTTTTTAACACTTTACCAAAAAATAAAATCACCATACTAAAGGAACTTACTGTTACATGTTTGTATATAAATAGGTGCATATCAAGTGACCTTATATGAAAGTTTAAAATTTTTATTTTTACAGAATTGACCATTTATTTCTATGGTATATAATGATAGTATACAAGTTGTTTCATTGTTGGATGTTAGTGTTGTATTGATGGTGTACAATAAATCTTGTATTTTATTTCCCTAGGAATACACCAGCTTATCACAGCTATAGGACTTGGCAGGATCTTAACGTGATTTAACATTGTGACAGTGTATATACAAATGTAGATGTCTGCAATCTAAATGTCTTAACATGACTATATACGAGATTCGAGGCCGGGAGCTTTGATGGAAAGACAGTGATGGCCAGTGATCAACCGGCAGCCGTGCGCGGGACGACAGTAGTGGTCGGTGACCTGCAGGTTTCAGGGAACGCGGAACGTCAGCCGTGGTCAGTCGGTCAGCCGTGGTCAGTCGTTTAAGCAAGCATGGATGAATCAGAAAACATACAGTGTTCTGTTTCAGTTAAATATAGGAGGTGTCTGAATTTGTGAGTTAAAATTCCAGATTGTATCTGATACACCAATGAGCAGGAAGCAGGGTGTACATATTTCCAACACATACTAGTAACTGCCTTATATTGCTTATATGTGTGTATTTATCGGGGTTTTTTTAATAGACAGTGCTTGTGTACTTGAACTGTGAGGACACATATTGATATGTCCGCCTTGAAGATAATGAACTTCTGCAGACACCTGAACGTCTGAAGGTTGATGGACAATGTCCAGAGATACTTGTGATGATTACAGTTATAAACATGAAGAAATGTTTATAGTTGTTAATATTGTTGTGTTAGTGAATGTTGTTATTTAGTACAATCACATATGTTGGTACATAATCTTCACTATTGTACATATTGTAAAATACTAGTAGAATAAGATAGAATCTTTACAGATGATAATCTGTGCAATATTATTGTGATAGATGATCTTTATAATAAGGTACATGTACATTTAATACGATTAATGAAATTGTTTAAATTGTGTATATTAAAATACAAAAAAAAAAATTTCTGTTTTTTATTTATTTAAATTCTGTGCTTAGCACATTTTTCAAATGATGTGCATTTGTTGAAGAGTGTAGTGAAGAAAGTCACAACAGTGCTATTAAAGTACCTGTATGTATGGGGTTTACCTGAATGATCAAAAGCAACTCCCTGTCTATACTTCAACTTAAAAAAAAACTAAGTCGGCTATCAATTGAAGTCACATTGTGCCCCAGAAACGAATAAATAAAATGGCAAATATGAGTTTTATAGCGTTTAGGCATATTAGATGCATATCACCTGAAGAAAGTTTTGCCCAGTATGAAATTATTGGTCACAAAACTAACTAGAAAAATATAAACAAAGTAGTATTTTGACTTCCATACAAAATACTTAATCATTTGCCAAAAAGCAACAGAAGAAAAAGATGGTTTTGGTAATTGGCCAATGAGTAACTTTTTGGAAAATATAGCCCGACATCAAAAATAAAAAGCTTATGAAAAATAAAAGCATTTCTGAGGCATAATGGGCCATTTAATTGCACACAATGATGCGAATCGTACAGTGCATCACTTGTATATTATTTTTATATTTTATTATACTTAACTTTTGACTACTTGATCATTTGATATCAAAATCCTTGATTTTTACAATGGAAATATTACCCAAATATTACAGAAATACAGCATAACAAGGGTACAAAAAGCCCGTACAAATTATTGGAAGTAACTACAGAATTAGAAATACAAAAACAAGATTTAAAAATCTTATTTCTTGAATTTAAAATAAACACACAACGTGGTATTCAATTTCATATTCAATATTGTTCTGAATTAATAAAGAAATAGCAAAATTGGGAAAGTATTGAATAATTAATACATTCATTTTACATTTCTGTATGCGTCATGGATATCTAAAGAGTCAGGGCATAACTGACGCACGAAGTTATATATCTGTGTACATAATATCCCCGTGAACTGTGCTTGAAAAAAAAAAACTTACTAACTCTATTAAAACATTTTCTTTTAAGTCTTTTTTTAGATAAACATATATATATACATGTGTATTTAATCATGTTTTGCACAGAAAATCACTGTCAGACTTGCCAGTTATTTTTATTCAAATTACAATACTGTAGAAATGTCCCAATAAATCAATCTAAAAAATTATTTCATTTAACATATTTAGAAAATTCATGGGTAGCTTTATGGGTGAATAAAAACGTTGAATAGTACGGCGTTGAAACGTTTGTAAATACATTGTACATGTACATCGGGTTAAATTACCTTTCACGTTAAACTTAATCAGTTATTTTGTTACAAGATCTACGTCATATCTGTGATATTTTAGTCCATCTTAATATTTAGGTCCTTGACCTGGTGAATTGTTGTAATGGACTTGCCCTGATTTTAATCTGGAACAGTACATTCAAATAATAATAATACTAAAACAACAACAACAACAACAACAAAATGAGCTAACAACATTATAGAGCCTCAGTCTGCACTTCATGTACATCATGTTGGCATTTGCACCAATCCATGCAGCTTTATAATTGCAGTGATCCAGTTTTTTTCCAAAATGACTCACAACTTCTCCACAACAAGACTTAATTGTAACAGCGTTGGACGTCGAATGACACCAGGCTTATTGTCAAAAATCTGGAAACAAATTAAGTGATCCCTCGGAAGCATTAATAACAACAAAATTACATAAGAATTGCAGACTCGGTTTGATTGAGTCTGTACATGAGGATTAATGATTAAGTGCAACATCCCTCACGCCCCTAGCTAGCACCGGCTTGAGCGGTACTCAATTCTCAACACTTAATAGTGCTGGCATCAATGACCCCGAAGTTCCTTGCTCAAATTCTCCCACCAACCTGAAGTTTGTTGTCGTTATGCCTAATTGAACTGACCTAGACATTTATATCACTCCAGCATTGTACATGTACATTACTATTCGAAATCTGGACAATTTTGCTTTGAATATCTTAATCATTTGGAGAAGACCACATCATTAAATCAAAGCACTGAAAGTACTGTTGGAAGGAAATTTTCATAGAAATACCTAATGCGTGTGAATTAAAAACAAAGGAATATGTGCAAGCTTCAATCTACAGCTAGCTGATTTGATGACGTAAAATGTGACGTCATTGTTTCCGTTTTCGCACTACTCATGTTCAGTGGGCTGATAACTAGTTCTTTGCCCAGGGCCCCAAACCCATAAGTTGTGACACTCATAATCAGTTGAAATCATAGGCAATTCTGTTACTAATATAGTAATTAGTGAATTAATAGATAATACTACTGCATTAATTTATGCACACAAAGAACCACTCAGTTTGACCTAAATCGGCCATGACTTATATGACTACTTCATAGGAATTCAAGACCATGCCATAAGCATTATTTAATCATAGTTAATGAAGAGACTTTTTATTTTAAACTCAAGGACAAGTAAAGCTCATCATGTGCTTACATTTGTAAGTTCTAACATAACTAATTGTGTTTTAGTATGAAATTGATGTACATGCTGTTAAAGTCATAGCAAAACAAAGAACAATGATTTAAAATAAACTTTTATTGTCAAAACTTGCATAAAAGTAAAAATATATGTTATATAAAAAATAAATGATTAAATATATGGAGATAATGAAATTTAGTTTGTCAGATGATTGTTACTGATGATTGTGATTGAAAATTACAAAATTTTACTAAGTCAAGGGCAATAACTCTAAAAATACTAAAAATATCCAGACGAAAATACCCAGGTGCACAACTACACATACTGATCAACATTCCTGTAAAGTTTCATGACTCTAGGTCAAATACTTTTTGAGTTACATGCGACACAAGTTGAAAATTACAAAATTTTACTAAGTCAAGGGCAATAACTCTAAAAATACTAAAAATATCCAGACAAAAATACCCAGGTGCACAACTTCACATGCTGATCAACATTCCCATAAAGTTTCGTTGAATTCCAGCCATTAGTTGCAGAGAACTACTCCGGAAACGAAATTCGGACAAAATTTTACTGAGTCAAGGGCAATAACTCTAAAAATACTAAAAATATCCAGACGAAAATACCCAGGTGCACAACTACACATACTGATCAACATTCCTGTAAAGTTTCATGACTCTAGGTCAAATACTTTTTGAGTAACATGCGACACAAGTTGAAAATTACAAAATTTTACTAAGTCAAGGGCAATAACTCTAAAAATACTAAAAATATCCAGACGAAAATACCCAGGTGCACAACTACACATACTGATCAACATTCCTGTAAAGTTTCATGACTCTAGGTCAAATACTTTTTGAGTTACATGCGACACAAGTTGAAAATTACAAAATTTTACTAAGTCAAGGGCAATAACTCTAAAAATACTAAAAATATCCAGACGAAAATACCCAGGTGCACAACTTCACATGCTGATCAACATTCCCATAAAGTTTCGTTGAATTCCAGCCATTAGTTGCAGAGAACTACTCCGGAAACGAAATTCGGACAAAATTTTACTGAGTCAAGGGCAATAACTCTAAAAATACTAAAAATATCCAGACGAAAATACCCAGGTGCACAACTTCACATGCTGATCAACATTCCCATAAAGTTTCGTTGAATTCCAGCCATTAGTTGCAGAGAACTACTCCGGAAACGAAATTCGGACGGACGGATGGATGGATGGACGGACGGACGGACAACGCCAAAACTATATCCCCCTCCCGATTCCATCGGCGGGGGATAACAATGAAACCCCTGGGGTGGGGCCTTGTACACACTTACCAGAAGATGTTTCATGCTTAATATCTAAACTCTAGCTATTTAGGTTTTTTCAAAGAAGGTTTTTAAGTTTTTGCTATACACATATAAGGAAAATCAATCACCCCCGGGGAGGGGCCAATTTTGACCCCAGGGCTTTTATTTGAACAAACTTTGTAGACACTTACAAGAAGATGTTTCATGCTTGATATCTAAACTCTAGCTATTTTGGTTCTTTAAAAGAAGATTTTTAAGTTTTTACTATATATGCATATAGGGGAATTCAATGACCCCCTGGGGCGGGGCCAATTTTGACCCCCAGGGCTTTTATTTGAACAAACTTGGTAGACACTCACTAGAAGATGTTTCATACCTTTAAAAGAAGATACTTTGTCTAAGCTCTAGCTCTTTAGGTTCTTTAAAAGAAGATACTTTAAGTTTTTTTCTTTTGGTTGCCATGGCAACCAGCGTTCTATGAACAATATTTAGAGGTGACCACCAAAGAAAACATTCCTGTGAAGTTTGGATGAAAATTGGCTTAGTGGTTTATGAGGAGATGTCATTTAAAGTGGACGCCAGACGAAAAAGCGATCAAAAAAAGCTCACCCTGTCACTTTGTGACAGGTGAGCTAAAAATAGTTAAGTGATCTTATTTTCCTGGTGAAAAACTGGTGGCTCAATAAAGTTCTATACATATTATGATATTTCAAATATTGGAAAAGTTATCTCTAGTTCTTGGTGAAAGACTGGTGACTAGTTTTCTCCTCAATGTCATTTCTTTTTCTAATTAGATTAAGTCATGGTACTATATTCATGAGGCTTTCGACATCACATCTAAGAACTCATTATCCAACATTGCAAAGGGCAGGCAGTCTCCTGATATTCCAATTTCTTTTAAAGTTTATAAAACCACAATATTTCTATTCTTTAGTGTTTCAGACATGAAGACACATCTTATTCTACATGTATCTTTCCTTATCACTCCTGCTTTTACTGTTCTATCATATAAGCGCCTCTGTTTCCTGAAATATTTGTTTAGAAAAAGTTAATTGCAAAATTAAAATTCCACTTGTAAACCCTTGCCGAGAACGAACTTACAGCAGTGAAAGGCTTAAAGGTTTAAAAATCAAGAAACTAAACCAATCAGTCACAGACACCCCAAGTATTTTATCTATTTGCTAAGCAGCAATTTTTTCAAAAAATTATTTAAATTCATAAATGTGAGTGATTCTGATAAGCTATAGACAGCTAAGTGATGATAAGATGATCATATATGTCAGATATGTCGGAGTGCTAACACTACTTACTGTGAATATTCAATATTTTAATGTGAATTGTCCTGAGGTAAAAAGGAAAAGAAAGCTGAAATCCTGAATACATGTTACATGTCACAATTGTTCTTGCAATTAATTTTGTTCCTAATTTCTTGTATAAGATATTTAAATACACTGTAATTCTTTTTTTATAAATTTGGCTTTTTGTGACAATAGTCTATCCAGTGACCGAAGCTCACTGACTTAAAATAAACTGTCCTGTGTCAGCCTTTAAACAAGTCTAGAAAAAAAAAGCTATCAGAATATAATAATTAAGAAATATCATATACAAATACTTCTAAATAATCATGTACCTCTTCCTTAAAAGCCCATGCTATTGAAAGAGACATTTTTTCCATTTGTTCACTTCAAGGTTAGTCAGATTGACATTCTCACATTTTAGCCTTTATCACTCGTGATTTCATTGTCATTGACCCTAAAGCATCATTAAAATCGATATCCTGCTGTTCACATTCATAAATCTGACATGTAGGCCGAACTTCTGAAACATAAAATATAATTATTATTAGATATACATATAGTATGCCAATAATTATGTTAGTTAATATCAAATCAATAATTTAAGCAGTGTTCGAAATTAGCAGTAGTCTGAGAGTCCGACTACTAAATTTCTCCTCGGGCTATCAACTTTTCACAGTAACAAGCCCGACCAGGCTACTGTATTTTCAGAGGCATTATAAACAACTGTTTTGAACAAATGAATCGTGCTAGTGAAATGTCTTTTGGACAAGTGAATATTCCGATCTAGTAGTCTGACCAGCCTAGTCGATTCAAATCCTAATTTCTTACACTGTTTAAGAAACAATTTGTTCAAAATTGTCCAAGCATAAAGATTTTTATAGTATACTATAGTAATTATAGTGTATATACAGTATGTATTAAATGTCTTTACTATCTACTATACTGTCCTGAAATTTCAAGAAAACAACTATCTTTAAAATCCATTTTCTCAGAAGTTGCAAAAAAAAAGTAAATGAAATTGCTCTGGGTTTGTATTATTCTGTACAACTTCTGATCACAAAAGCTTCAAGGACATCATGAGTGAGTCAGGTCCTATCCTGAAAGATTGTTGTTCAAGTTTGAAGACAATCCATTCAAAAAATAACAAATTATAGCCACTAATAGCAAAAATCAAGAAAATTTAGACATTTACCTTGAATGTTAATATGGTGGTCAAGTTAATTTAGTTTAGTCTGGTCTATTTGATGGGTTGTTGTGGCCAAGTATGAAGACAATACACCAAGATCTGAAAAAGTTATGAACAAGGTTAAAGTTTGATGACAGCAATGGGAAAGCCGTCATGACTAACAATATATTTAATAATTTTGGCCCTAATGCAAACTGAAAATTCTAGCCTATAAACACTGTTGAGACTAGCTGTTCAGCATTTTTTCAATAATAAATAAATGCAATGATAAAGTCGGTAACTTGCAAGTCTTCTAACATTTTTACAAAGAATGAACATATATTATATATTTTTTCCTTACAATTCTACAATGATGTTCAGTCATTTATATTATAACAAGATATCGGAAAGATTATAGATATATCAGAAATGAATTGGCCTGTGGACTTTAATGTCAATCATAGAGCTCTTATGCAAAATGTAATGGTAAGCAAACATCCAGCATGAAATTTTCAAGTAGCCACAAGTTAAAATAAAATTATTAAAAATACTTTGTCATGATTCAATTACTGCTGGAAATTGACCCACATGTTTTATTACAAATTTATTACATCAATATTTTCCATAGAAATAATAAATTAATTTTCAGTCTCTTTCTCTTTGTGCTTTCACACAGATTTGAATTATTCAAGTCCATGATTTTCAGAAGGAAAAAATCTTCTGATCATCAAACACTAAAAATTACTATACCAACTGCAAATTGCAGTCTGTGCAAAAGGCTGCCTGTCCTCGGACCTCGCCAAATAAAAATCAAGAGGGCCATGATAAATTTTTATACAGTTATCGAATATCAATTGTACACAACAGTTGAATATAACATATTATAAACTTATTTCTATGTTAATAGATAGTCTATATACAATAGAAATGAAAAAGCAAATCCTTCACAACAGTCAACACTGTAAATTCGAATCAGGGTCAGATTGGCCCTTAAACGTATTTGGCCCTCGAGACAGCTCGGCCCTATTCCAACTCAGCACGGGTCAACTCGGCCCATAATTACATAATTACTGATAATGATTACTTTTCTTACTTTTGATATGTTTTCATCATAACTGTCATGGTTTAACATTTTCACACTAACAGACATCTACTCAAGGATATTGAAAAGTATGTGAAATTGTAGAGAAAGAAAGAATTTACAATTTAAACGCATTTTATGCTACTCCAGATTTTTTTGTAAAAAATATCGTTAAACAAGCATTTGCCATATTAAAAAACAAACCAGTATTAAAATTTAAATACAATAAAATTCATTGTCACAAAAAATTCAATCTAAAAACTCTATTTACAGTATTGATTAATATTTAACATATATTGTCTTGATATCTCTTCTTAAGATAATTATTTATCTTAAAGATAATTTCAAACAATGTTTTATTAACTAAACAATCTAAACAATCTATATCCTAATAGGCTATATGGTTTTAATAGAGGACCGAGTTGACCTGTCCCGAGTTGGTATAGGGCCGAGTTAACCTGTAAATTCAATAATGTAAACAATCCTTGACCTAATTTCGTTTGTCTAACAAATTAACATCTGCAAACACAAAACGATTTTTGAACAAAGAATATAAAAGCATTTCCACAAACCTTTGCGATGTTATTCATCAGCAAATCTATGTCTTGGATGGAGAAATCTGAAAAACACGAACGTTATTCTGTCGATGGTCCGAACAATGGCGGGTCATACTAGTCAAAACCAAGTTTTACCAAATTGCATCCGTTAATTCCAGAATACCTTTGAAAGACTTGTATTGTTATCTTGTTTTTTTATTATTTATATAATAATATTTTTGTTTCAAACGCTTTGATTCTATGAAAGTTTGCGAACCATTTTTTTGCGAAAATAGTACGCTTTTTTAAGGCCACATATTGTATCCATTGTTTCCTCTTGAGTTATTGACGTAAAAAAAAATCAGCGGTGGCATAAAATGCTATTCAATAAATTGCTAAATATATACAATAAATACTTTCATTTCCCTTCGGCTGACTTACATGTGAATTTTTCAGCATCTCTGCTACAAAAATTACACCTTATTTATATTCAATTTATTGTACATAGGTACATGGGACACAAACTTTTCTTTGGCCTAATGCGTAATAATACTGATGTTTTTTTTTTCGTACACGTTTGAGATTATGTTCCATTGATGTTAGCTAACATTGAATATCATCATTTCAAGTTTTTTTGAACATCAGCTTTTTCTTCAAGTCATCCACGTTTGAAAGTATACATATAGTTCTGCTGCACTACTTTCTTGGTCGCATTAACTACTTATTTTCTATTGAGCTTAAACAGAATGCAATTAGGTGTTGTTCGTTCTTTTTTGATATGGGCAGACCGATACTATAGAAAGGAAATTTTTTTTTGAAAAAATTTCCTTCCAAAAATCATGACACCTTTTTTTGCAATGAATCAACCCAAAAAGTTATACACAAATTACATACATTCAACGGTGTATTTTTAAGCAGCAGACGACAGTAAACAGTGTACTGTATGTGTAACAAAATGACAAATATGATTTTAATCATCGTCGGATACCCGGATAAAGATACTTAAGAAATATACTCAGATCTTACTTTAACTCATGCAATGAGAATAATCAATCTGGAAAACCCGTCTGAAATTTTGCACCATGTGTAAAAAAAACCTGAGTAGAGTCCCTTTTCCAGTTTAGTTTGATGTCAATATAATTTCTACTTTGTTTATTTATACTCTTTATACGCTATAATTTAGTTATAGGTCATTCAACTGTACACAATTTTAATGTCTAGATCTTTAGGTCGTCTAATATCCCCCCCCCCCATTTAGATATCTCCTACGCTAATATTCCCCCCCCCCCCCATTTAAATATCTCCTACATTAACGGTTGTAAGATTTTAAATCATGGCGAACGACATACGCCCCTGAATAGTTTAGTTGAATATCTATGTTAACTCGTTCCTCGAGAATACTGTATAGGCGGCCTATTCGATTTTCCGAAAATGCGTGTAAAAAATGTGGGAATGCTGTTTATAAACAAGTGTTTTCATTGATCATATTGTATTTTAATACTGTAATAAAAAAATGTTTTAATACAGTGACAATATCCTATTGTTATTTACGTGATCTTGTGTATGCAATTGTAGTTGGATTTTCATTTTAAGGTAAGCCCGTTTAATTAATTAAATTAGCATTTAGTTGCAATTTTACACATGTACCTTCGTGCCAGATATAAACAAAGATATGATCGATACTATAATAGTGCATGCGTACGTACAGTTTAACTATGTACAACAGTTTATTTGTCTTATATATGAAATGTTTTAATTAATTAATTAATTAATTAATTAATAAAGTCATTTATAACCTATATTTCTGCATCATCACATCATTACTTTTGTCTTTTTTCTTTGCTTTGTTAGTAACGAGCGGTTAATTATAGAAAAATCGGCACACCGCTCTCGAACCACTGGTCTCTGGATTGCCGGTCCAGGGGTTAGTATCTCGAAGCTATCGTTATATTTGCGTTTACGAACGTGCTAACGATTGACGGAGGGTTGGTTAACGAGAGACTAGCGCGGGTATCTCGAAAGCAGTAGTTAAGCTGTCGTTCGTTGCTTACTCGTTAGTTATTAACGATTGCGTTGTGTTATCATTTGAATACATGTACCCGAAAATTGTGTACAGCTCTTGTTTATATTCACCGAATCATTATTTTGCGTAGACGAAGGTGAATATAAGGTTACGATCATGCTAAACCGGAACACAATCACACGAAACGTGCAGGATCCGCCGGTCTGTCGTCTAGCAATATAGACTTGTTTTGCGACGAAAATCTCGATTGCCTTGATAATATCAATTGTGATAGTGGTAAACATACGAAAACGGTTCCTTTAAAAAAAGAGAACAGTCATTGGAACTGCCCCTGTTGAAAGTTCCAATGAAGCAGGCGTGATTTCTAATTGAGGGGCGGGGCGGGAACTTAACATAGAAACTGCAATAAAAAACCGACTGTATATAGAACCGCAGAGACTGAAGATTTAGCAGCAGAGGCTGCCAGTGTAGTCAGATATTTTAAACTCTTTACATAGTTAAAGCCAATATTCTGGCGGAGCTTCTTCTCAATACCAGTCAAAAAATCTGGGGACAGATAACCATCCCTCATTCTTCAGGCTATAACAACATGTTGTTTTAGGGTGTAAGTATACTGTCAATATTCAAATTTGAAAATTTTGCTTTCATTGTTGCTTTCCGTTTGAGTGAAATATGGACTATATTTTCACGAAACATAATGGAATTTTACCCTTTAGACAAACATATGTACAGCAACTCTTTCTAAAATCCCACTTGCTACACAGCTGCAAAGACGTCATGCGCCTAACAATGACGCCATGAGCGAAACAATTACTTCATAAGCATAAATATATATTAAATATGTAAAGTCGATTTTCATTGGATAATCATGACGTTTATAGTATTAGTTATAAAGATTTTTGACAGGTAATATTGCCCTACATAAACGACTATTCGGAAATATAACCCGAGCCGCTAGGCGATGGTTATTTTGCCTACAACCATTTAACATGTCAGGAATATTTATAACGAATTTATAAAACTGCGAACTTCCCTTTTTTAGAAAAAAAAGTGAGATTTCTTAGAAAATTGCCAGAAACAGTGTATATAAAACTATAAAAATGTCACGATTCTCCAATGAAAAGTGACGTGACAAACGTGCAGTTTTATAAAATCTTTTATAATACTGCACGTTTGTTACTGCAAGTTTGGTACGTCAATTTTAATTGGCGTTTATATAGTTTATATACACAGCTGCTGTCAATTTATCAAGAAATATATCTTTTTTCTGCAGTATTGTAAATTCGTTATAAAGATTTTTAACAGGATATATGGCCGATATAATTTTGTTTGCAATATAACTCTCACTTGGCGGCTCGGGTTATCGTTTATATACGGCCATATAACCTGTCAAATATCTGTATTACTAAATATATACATGGCTGCTGTTAATTAATATGGATAAATTTTCATTTTGTTTTAAACAAAGGATGTTTGCTGTATTATAAATTAAAATATAACGAGTTAAATTATAACAACTCGTGTTCGCGAGTGAAATATATGTTAATATAAAATGATAAACAAACAACATTTCTATATATTACATCCCTTTTTGTGGTACCGATTTTTGCAGCTAAAGTAATGCACTTTTCTTCATGATGTAATTAATACGTCACAGTTTACTTTCCGAAATATAATTTTGTAACTAGTTTCAATTTTGTTGAATTTTCAGCATGATGTATGCATATATCTATTTATGTTTTATTGTGCAAAATTACACATTACGGAGATTATTCCTTTCGCTGTTTAAGTTATGATATGTTTTTTTTCATCCGCATTCAAATATAAGTCTTAAATTAAAATGTAAAGAACCTTTACATATGTTTGATATGTGAGAAAAATTGTGTTTGTTTGGATTTTTACAGGTCGTCAACACATAACTGGCCATATCGTGTCGAATGCTATAATAGGCTTAAAATGTTATGTAAAACTTTGTAAATGACAATAAAAATGAGCCAATTAGATCCAAGAATACAAGTTTATCTCTTTCAAATAATCAATGATATTTTTTATGGATTTGTATTAAAGAGTTCTTTGAGTGAATTTACACAATAAAATCTATTACGGGCCTGTGAAAATTCATAAGAAAAAGAAATACAATAGATCTACTATATTTATGTCAGTTCATCATTTGTTATCAATAAAATGATATAATTCTCATTTTTTATGTACAGTAAAATGCCACCTAACGACCACGCCACAAATAGGACCACGCCGTTATTACGGGCACTTTTTAAAAGTACAAAATATTTGCCTTCTTTATACATTGAGAAAAATGACCTGTATACCGACCACGTCTCTAATCCGGCATAACGACCACTTCTGTCAGACATTTGTGTGTATTTCTTATCAAAACATTAACCTGTATTACGACCATGCAACATAATGACCAGACATCACTTGGTGTTTATTGCCCCCCAATTAATTGTGGTAATCTTCCCTCTGGCGTAAACAAATACACCGGGTCAAATGAGGTCATTAATATGTATCGATTGATTAGACGCTTGCTTTACGATGTATCTTTAGAATTCAAGTGTCAACATGATCAGTTTAAACCACTTCTGGCTAATTAATCTAAGCAGCTATGGTGTGAGAAACGATTAATTTGTCAGCGTAATTAGGATGTAATAAACAGGTAAATAACATTTAGGATTGTTTGTTGTGCATCACAATTTGTAGCAAGTATGGTAAAAAGTGATAATTACACCAAATTATCAGTTCATGTGTGCTTTATTTCGATATGTAATTAATGCATAAATCATAATGAGAGTTATAACTATATTCAATACCTCATATTTTTCTTCTTAAGCGGAGACTTAACATCTAGCCGTTTATTAATATTTTTTATTATATTAATGATGTATCATATTATCATGCAGTAAAAATGTTTTTTTTGTTTAAAAAATATGTGTTTCTTTTACTCATTTAATTAAGTACATTTACCATGTGCATAAAACTATACAAGGTATACATTAAGTTAAGTTGGATTTCGTCAGCTATTAAAGTGACTTATTCACTATTAAGGCCAATTCACTATTAAGACCACTTTGAGTCAGTCCCGTAAGTGGTCTTAATAGAGAGAATTTACTTTAAAATCGCGCCTTTCTTACTTTTGTGTCAAAATGATAGTAACGAGAGCCTTACGACACCCTCTTGGCATCCGTTAATAATTGGACATGTTAACGATTATTCGTTAATTACGAGAGCGTCGAGATAGCGGTGAAAACCTTAACGAGAGGTATACGATAGTCGTTATGCTAACGATAGCTTCGAGATACTAACCCCAGTATGCTACACCATTGCACATATATAAGTTTGCATTTATTAAAATTTCACTCTTAAGATACCCATCATAAACAAAAAATACATATATGTATGTATGTACTGTATATTAAATACACAGTTTAACAAGTTTATCACGATAACATGGAGTTTTAAAATAATTTGTTATCTTTACATGGTGATATTTAGACATCAAATGATTTACATGTGTCTATAAATTGATTAACTGACATAATTGCTACCTAAAGAAAGAAGTGCCTGTTGAACATTTCGTTTTATCCCTCTATATGTGCCATCTTTAGTCCTGGCATGGTAAGACCGTCGGCAACATCAAGTATACACTGTATTTGAGCCGCGTCACGACAAAACCAACATAATGGGTTTGCGAGCAGCTAGATTCTGACCAGCCTGCGCATCCGCGCAGTCTGATCATGATCCATGCTGTTCGCTATCAGTTTCTCTACTTGTAATAGGGTTGGTAAGCGAACAGCATGGATCCTGATCAGATAGCGCGGATTATGTGCATTATGTTGGTTTTGTCGTGACGCGGCTCATTTTGCCATGCCTGCGGTATCATCTATTTACTTTTATACTTTTCACGATTTAAGTGCCTTGTAAAAAGCAATGTAAGCTGTAAAGTTATAAAACATTTTTTTAATAAAAAGTCGGTCCTGAAAGTATATTGGAAATACCCAACATGGCATCATGGTATGGCATTGGACATATCATGTGAATCCTAGTCTTTAAAGCAGCATACCTCCAAATTCATGCTAGTTTGTATGAAAATTTTGAAAATGTTTTTTAAGTGAATCGTCATAATAGCAGGTTTATAATACATGTATAATAAGTAATTACTTGGATAGTGTTTAGTATCAGACATAGAAGCTAACCACGATATAGAGGATATTTGTTTAGTTCAGTGTAAGATCGGAATATATTTCACCGAGTGAGCACCAAAAGGTATATTTCACGAGTGGCGCAGCCACGAGTGAAATATGAACTTTTGGTGTTCACAAGGTGAAATATATTTTGATCTTACACTGAACTAAATAAATTTTCTTTTTATTATATGCAAAAAACGTTGTAAAAAGGCATTAAACCTATCACTGAATGAAAAGTGCGCCAAATAATAATACAACGTGACGTCATTTACGACGTCACGGCATTAATATGGTACCCAGTACTGTGTACGCTGGTATTTCACTGAAACAACGTAAGGGGCTTAAATTCAAAACAGTGAAATTATCAA